TTATTGCTTTTGTTACTATGTTATGTGTTTTTGTGTTTTTATATTGAAAACCGCCCTGTGATTCTTTGGTGAAGTGCGGAATAGAAATTTAATAAAGAATATAGTGTATCATGGTATCATACATAGCATACCCTCCAACATTTCTCTGATGAAAATAGGGATGTCCTATTCCACATTAATAATAATAATTTAACTATTTATACATTGCTGATCTGACTGGGTTGCCCCAGCCACTCTGGGCAGCTACCAACATATATAAAAATATAATGAACCATTCATCATTAAAAAACTTCCCTATGCAGGGCTGCCTTCAGATGGCTCAGGGGTTGGGCACCATACCCTCCAACATTTCACTGATGAAAATAGGAACGTCCTAAGGAAAAGGGGGACATTCTGGGATAGAATCAGAAACCGGGATGGCTTCTGTAAATCTGGGACTGTCTGTGGATAATAGGGGCACTTGGAGGGTCTGACATGGTGCTTGGTGTGAATCCTAGAGCCCTCTTTCTGGTTGGCACCTTGGGCTAGGGGTGGATTAAACCTTGTGCCAAATAGTCACTCACATAGTGACCTGGCTTAACTTCTTAACATGGCCGTAGTTCAGTTGCGTCGCAGCTGTCCGGTGTGATGAATGTAGAAGTTTCTTGGTTAGATCATTTATAACAGGAGTGGGCAGCTTGTGGACCTCAGCCTAATTTCAAGAGCCATCTGCCCGTCTTCCCAGCAGCCCTTGGTGTGGAGAGGAGGAGCGCTTTGCCCCCACCCACTGTTGTCTTCTGCCCTGCTCACCATGTGGCCCTCAGCAGATTACCCCCAAGGGAATGCAGCACTCCGAAGCGCCCAGTTGCACCCAACATGGGGGTGGGGGGGTGTCACATGTGCATGACGTTATATCTGCTACGTCCCCCCAACCCAGCCAGACCAACTCGGACCGCCATCCCCCGCCCCTGCCAGCTGCCTTATCTTTGTGAAAGGGACATGGCAGGGCAAAGAGATTGCCAGTGTGCCCTCTGGGGAGGTGCTCTGGCAATTGGCAAAGGGAGGCTCTGGGTGCAGACACTTTGCCCTTCCGTCTCCCTGGTCATCTTCAAAAGGACCCAGCAGGGTGAAGCTTCCTTACCTTGGCGCTTGCTTTTGAGGATTGCTGTGAAATTGAAGGGGGGCGGGGAGGCTCCCTTATCAAAAATATTGGGAGGGGGCCTGCCCCCAGATGGCGCCACTAGTGGCCCTTGACCACACGGGGAAATTTGCCCGTTTCTGACCTGTCCTGTGTGTATATGTAGGAAGCAGCCCTGCGCCTCAACCTGCGTCCTGTTGTCATGAGGTAGGCAGGGCAGTCTCTGATGAGGCCCTTCCAGTGGCTGACTTTTAGAGCCAGCCTGTACAGCGGTACCTCGGGTTACATACGCTTCAGGTTACATATGCTTCAGGTTACAGACTCCGCTAACCCAGAAATAGTACCTCGGGTTAAGAACTTTGCTTCAGGATGAGAACAGAAATCACGCAACGGCAGTGCTGCAGCAGTGGGAGGCCCCATTAGCTAAAGTGGTGCTTCAGGTTAAGAACAGTTTCAGGTTAAGAACAGACCTCCAGACGAATTAAGTACTTAACCCGAGGTACCACTGTATGAAATAAGGGAGGATTGACTACAAGCCTGAAGGAGAGTCAAGGGGCAGGTCACTTTGAAAGACATGTTATATGGAAGAGTAACTAGCAGTCTAATTAGTATTCTCTGTTGAGAGGTGCAGACAATTATTCCCTTTTTAATCACATTTATAGTGACAAATCAATATTGCCTGAAATGGCACTTTTAACTGCTTGATTTAATATGAACACTCACTAACAATCTCATCATTATTACGATGGGCAAATGGTTGTTTTCAGAGCAGTGACATTTTTTGCAACTTCCATTTAATGTGCTGCTTTTCCTAAGCTTCCAATGATCCCGATTCCTCCCTCTGGCCCTGGTTGGCTCTCAGCCTCTTTATGGCCTTCACAGTTTCCTTTGTAATGAACCAGCAATTTATCCAATAATCCCTTCCATGTGTGGTGCACCTCTGCCCCTGCAGTCTAGATTCTATTCTCAAGAGACTTGATGCTGCATGACCTGATCTCAATAATAGCCTCAATCATTTTTCTGGAGTCCTTTTGTCTGTGGGGGGCACAGAGGTGGGGGGGGGGAAAGTATGTTCTCTATGTTCTCTACCACAGATGGAAAGAAAACAGTGACCGTGGTACATTTTTCTGTCTTGGTTGTACATTTTGCAGTGGTTAGCAGTTGATTTGTGATTTCAGTGCTTGTGTGGTTGGATAGCTTTTAAAAATAAGATTAGATCAAGTCATGGAGGATAAGGCTATTGATGGCCATAGTCTACCCATTGTGCTGGAGGCTCTGACTACCTGTTGCTTGGAATCACAAGTGGGGAGAGCTTTTCCCACAGGCGTGGGCTCACCCTTGTGGTGGATGACTCTTGTTCCGAAAAGCGTGGTCAGAATTAAACGGTTCAGGAACTCAGACCAGACCAAATTTCATAAAACCATACATAGACTTTACTAAAACAAAACTCTATAAGAAATAATTACACAGATTAAAATACCTCAGAAGGTAAGAAAGCAACAAACGTTAACTTATCCAGCCAATTAACACAAACATTTACACTTAAGTCTCAGTAGGCTGAGCAACAGAACAAGATGCTATCAAAAGCCCAAATAGACACTAGACACTAAGCTTGGCTGGCTGCCGAGAGCTCCCGCCAATCCAGCTTTTATGGGGACTTAGTGCTGGCTATTTGCAGTATGGTAGCGCTGCAGAGAGCTTGCTGGGGAGACCATGCATTAAAAAGGGACTCAAAAATAACTTAAACAAGGTTTTAATAACAAAAACAAAAACTCCTTATACACTAAATACATCAACAACAAACCAGACCCAACCACCAACCCATCCCCCAGGGTAATGGGAGAGCTAGGTGCTGCTCCTTATATACTACACCCAATTGCTGACACAGCTTAATCAATGCAACTCAGCAGCACCTGCTATGTTTCACAGCTGTAAAGCTGGGTCTCGTTATTTTGCTCTGGCCCCTTAAAGACATACACATCGGGTGGAACAATGATGAACCTTTACATTTAAAGAAACCATTCAACACTTAGACCATCGGCGTTCACCTCTTCCACTCAATTACCTTTTGTCACCGGCCTTGAAGTCTTAACGGTGTGGGAATGTTAAGGATAGTAGGAAAGGATATATTGAAGAAGTATGATCCTTCCTTCACTCACGCTAGCAAGTGACGTAGCAGAGCAGATTCCCCTCAATATAGCTGGAAGCTAGTTTGGGGATTTGTTTGAATCTCTTAGTTAAGTTTATTCCTGGTGTCCCCTTTTGATCCCTCTTAAAAGAATAGAGACACAGGAGTCTTTCTGAGTAAAGTAACAAAAAGTTTACTCACATTTCAGTTCACGAAATCCCTGAAAGGCAGGCTTTACTTGGTAGTTACATATGGAGACTGAACTCATGTGCTGCTGGCTGAGAGCCAGCAGACAGCAAAATTACATTAAGTCAACAAAAGGGCTGCAGGAGAGCAGCATGGCAGCAAAAGAGAGAAGCAAGACAACAGAAAGACAAAACCAGACTGAGAAAATGGCTGCGAGACTCAGCTCTTCTGTGGAGTCAGCCAGAGCCATGCCCATCTCCCAGGTCACATGCAGGGGGAGGATGCTCCAGACCAGAGGAACAGGAAGTTACCCTGACCGGATGTCCCCCTGCCTGTGCCCACGCTAGAGAAATAAGGAATGTTGCATTTGACTGCACCAATGGATTACATCCCACAAACAGGAGACAGCTGTACGTTGGCTCCTTATTTCTGAGGTTCTAACCCAGTCCCATAAACCAGTCTTAAAGGAATGATATCACCACACACTGAAACATGAGTGTGTGTCTGTGTATAGTGGCATGGAAGGATGTTTGAAATTGAGGACAGCATATTTCATCAATTCCATTGTCTTGAGGAAACAAATAATTTATAATAGGGCAATATTAGGAAGTGTGAACAGGTAAAAATAGATTAAATGTGTCAGTGACTGCCTAGATTGGGAAGTTGTTCTTAGCCACAAGCAACTGATGGGCTTTAGAATTAATGAATTTGCATCTCTTTGGACAGGTGGCATAGAGATTGTTTCATTAAACACAGTACAGGATTCATCCACATGAAGTAAAATCTCATGCATGTTTAGGCAGGTGTGTTGTGAAATGATTAATTCCACTTTCTGAATCTAGTTACAGGTAGGTAGCCGTGTTGGTCTGCCGTAGTCAAAAAAAAATAAAAAAAAATCCTTCCAGTAGCACCTTAGAGACCAACTCAGTTTGTTATTGGTATGAGCTTTACATGAAAGCTCATACCAATAACAAACTGAGTTGGTCTCTAAGGTGCTACTGGAAGGAAAATCCCTTCCCCCCAACCTACTTCCCTCCATCAGTCCCAGCCAACACGACCAATGGTCAGAAACAATGGGAGCTGAACAGTTGAATTGCTTGGGGGGGGGCACTCAGTTGGAGGAGACTGCAGTACATCCTAAAATGCACCCCACACCCTTTGACAACTGCAGATTTGCAGGGGAAGATTCATGGGGGGGGGCAAGCTGCTTTTCACAGAAGCTTGATTTTCATTTTTGCTTCTTGTGCTGAGGTGTCCCAGGGACCCAGAGGCCCCTAGAATAGAAACGTCCCTGGATTATACCATCTAAATCTACCTTTTCCCCTTTTCGTTACAATGTGGATTATTTAATGGCATTTCAACATGGCTTGACATCCAGCAAAGTTGTTGCACTAAGATTTCTAGCATTCGATGGGATAATTTATGAGTCTTGTGCTCCACTCCACCCTACCTGGCATTTAAATATATATATATGTCTGTTTCTGTACACCCCAGTAGTATTATTTCTTTGATTTCCTGCTGCTAACCTTTTGATTAAGCCTGATTTCTTCTTTGGACTCTTGCCTGCAGGTGTTCCTCAGACATGATTGTCATGTGAGTCGTCAGCCATGGCGAGCAGGAAATGTCAAACCACCACAGCCAGCATGCTGGATCACCGGGCGAGAGCTTCCCCTCCTTTGCCTCAGGGTAGGGAGGCTGAAAATGAGGGTGATAACTTGCCTGTGGAGGACTATGTGGAGACGGAGACGGAGGTTGTGGCTGCCAGGGAAGGCACCCCTACACTGGCCGAGCACGAGTGTCTCGACCACAGTGGAGATGGCGACTCCAGTTCTGATTATGTCAACAACACTTCCGAAGAGGAGGATTACGATGAGGGGCTCCCGGAGGAAGAAGAAGGGATTACTTACTACATCCGATACTGCCCAGAGGATGACGGTTACCTGGAAGGGATGGACTGCAGCGGGGAAGAGTATGTCCCCCATGAAGAACATCCAGTGGAGACGGATGAGTGCCAGGAAGCTGTGGAGGAAGCGGAGTGGTCCGACATGAAAATGCAGCACCGGGATGAATGCGAAGCCATAGAAGCCCCGGGCCACCACGAGGGCTGCGTCCAGGTTTTGGAAGGGGAGGTGGCCTGCCTGGAGATCCAAGACCAAGAAGAGAACCTCCAGTATTGCCATCCAAGCGAAGAGCGCTACCAGGGTTACTACTCGCCTGAAGCAAATGGGAATCCCCACGGGATGTCTCCTTACCACTCTGGGAAAGAAGAGGCCGAGCTAGAAGAACAGGAGGAAGACATCGACCAGATCGTTGCAGAGATTAAGATGAGCATGAGCATGAGCAGCATCAACAGCGCCTCGGAGATGAGCCCGGAGCATGGAGGGACTGAAAACGTGCCAAATGACTATGCAGAGACTTGTCCAAAGGGAGACTCTGGCCACAGCTCCAACAGGCATCTGGGAAGGCCAAAATCATTGAACATCCCCACTGCATCAAAGCAAGTGGGAGATGTACCCAGAGGCTTCAAAACCAAGTCAAGAACCCCCGAGGAAAGACAGACGTGGCCACAAGAACAGGTGAGTTGTTGACTCTCTTCTTTTGCTGTTTTGTTGTTGGCATCTGTCTGTCTCCAAGGCAATGGAAGAGTGTGGCTTTGGGGGTGAAGTCAAACGGTTGGATTGTTGCATACATATACATACAAATACACATAGGATATGTGCTTTGCTCTCTTCATTCTCCAGCATAGGTGGGAAAGGCAGCTTTGGAAAGCTGAGAGAGATGGTAAGGTGATAGGTCTGGGAAATTGCACAGACTGGCCCAGAAGAAAAGCTTTCCAAATGACCCTTCTCCTCCTAGGAACCTCATGGGGTTGGCCTCAGGGGAGCCATTAGCATCTCCCCCACCAATCTCCAGCCTCCTCTCACCCCTATCTGCATGTCCAGCAGCCAAGGTTAATTAGGCCTGAAATCAAAGGGCTATAGGCACTCTGCCTGATACAGACATTTATTTACATTATTTGTTCCAAAGGCATCTCATTTGACCTGGTCACAAAGGGGGTTTAGACAGCAATCCATCCATCCATCAAAATTGCAGGCCTACATTTTACATTTTTTGTGATCTGTCATTTTAATTTTTGTCTTCTATTGTGTGTAATTGATGTACACAACCCTGATATTTTATGAGGGCAGGGTATAAATACCTTTATAAATCAATGAATGAATGCCATGTTTAAAAGATCCTCTTGACAGTGCTGCAGTTGTCAGGATTTTGGCTTTATTGATTGATTGCATGTTTAACCTACCGTTTTCTCCAAGGAGCTCAAGGTGGCATATGTGTTTCTCCCCCTCCTTGTTTAATCCCCACAACAACCCTGTGAAGTAGGCTAGGCTGAGAGGCTGCAACTGGCCAAAGGCCACCCAATGGGCTTCATGGCCAAGTGGGGATTTGAACCCCTGTCTCCAAGGTCCTAGTCTGACATGGCATTGACATTTGGCAAGCCAAGAGGTGGCATTTACTGAATAGGCACCCTGATTATAGAATTCCCTCCCCTCTCAAAACCCTCTCAGTTTTGACTAACACCAGGTCTTTGAGCATTTGCTGGCAACTGAAGGCTTCTTTATTCACCCAGGAATATAGTTGGAGTTTGGCCACTACACAGTTAAACGGGTGTGCTCTTTGCTTTTTTTCAGTACCGGCACCTCTTTTTGTTGTTGTTAAAAATTGTGGCACATACTGTAACAACTTCATGGTTGGTACCGGCACCTTTTTTTCTAGAAAATAAACACTGGGTGTGCTGATTCTGTTCATGTTCTGCTCTTCTGTTGCGTTGTATTGACATTGCACCCTGTTTGGGAACTCGTAGTAGTGAAAAGCAGCTAACAAAATTTACAAATAAAACAAAATAAAACAAAACGGTCTTTCGGGAGCCTAAACTCTCCTCTTGGTTGCAGCCTTATTCTTTGCGTCTGCCTCGGGAGTCAGGCTCTGTATCTGCCAGTCTCCTTTTTGGGATCCGGGTCTGCTGTGACCCTGCCTGGCACAAGTTCCTCTCTCAGCCTTTGATTCCCGGAGGGCGATGGGTCATCAAGGGGTGGGGATAGTAGTGCTTTCTCGATTTCCTGTTTTGAACACTCAACAAATGGTAGCAGCAGGGTCCACGGGGAGCATGATATTTGCTTTCTGCTGCATTTGCCACTATAATATTTTTAAATGGTTTCTCTCCACAAAGCACCAGTCATTCAAAAGCCATAATTTCCAGGCCACATTTAGAAATGTCTCTTGGTACATAAGGGTTAGAGATGATAGCCCACTCAGTCATACTCAGAGTAGACCCTTTAAAATCAGTGGACTCAAGCTGTCAAACTCTACTGATTTGCTGCCCAAGTTGGAGACAGCAATGCTTCTGAATGCCGGTTTCTGGAAATGGCAGGAGGGGAGGGGGCTCTTCTCTTTGCAGGTTTCCCTCAGGCACCTGCTTTATCTGTAAGCTGCTTTGAGTCCTTTTCAGGGGAAAAGGTGGAGTATAAATAAATATATAATATAATGATAATAATAATATGTCACGGACTGGCTGGATGCAGAGGAGTGGTGGGAGGCCACCAGCTGGGGAGCCCCCAAGGGAACTCCCCAAGGAAGGAGGCTCAGAGCCAGGGGAGGGGTGGTGGGATGACCATGAGTGGTCAGAAGGAGAAGAAGGAGCAGGCGGAGGAGGAGGTGTTGGAGGCAGAAGAGGCGACAGGGTTTAGTGAGCAGGAAGAGGCTGTGACAGAGAGCAGTTCAGACTCTGAGGCTTAGCGGAGGCTGGAGGGGAGGGTGGCAAGAGGCAAAGTTGAGACAGGCTGCTGAAGAATCCAGAGAGTCTTCCCTTCCTGCTGTGACCAGCTCCCCTCCCTACTGGTCTCCTAGAACACAAAGAGAAATGAAAGGATTGGTTGTGACTGGGGTATGGAAAGCAAGCCTTATGGGGAAAGGTTGAGGGAGTTGGGTATGGTTCTAAAAAGCTTTAATCTTCCAACATTCAGCTTTATTGAATTCCCATGACTTCTAGTGTTAGAGTTCTACCGTTCCTATTGTTAGACAATTGGGAGACAGAAACCCTTTGCTGATCACCTAGAGCTCTACCAGCCCTGATTTACAGTTCTTGTGTTAAAAACAGTTATTAGATTTTTTTAAAAGAGTGTTGCTCAGTTTATTGAGAATGCTTTTTAAAAGTTCTAGACCTGAGAAAGTGCTAAAAGGAGAAAGTGTTAAAAGAGCCAGTGTGGTGTAGTGGTTAAGAGCGGTAGTCTCGTAATCTGGGGAACCGGGTTCGCGTCTCCGCTCCTCCACATGCAGCTGCTGGGTGACCTTGGGCCAGTCCCACTTCTCTGAAGTCTCTCAGCCCCACTCATCTCACAGTGTGTCTGTTGTGGGGGAGGAAGGGAAAGGAGAATGTTAGCCGCTTTGAGACTCCTTAAAGGGAGTGCAAGGCGGGATATCAAATCCAAACTCTAAAAGGGGCTTTCCCTAATCTGGTGCCTTCCAGATGTTTTGGACTACATCTTCTGTCAGCTCCAGCCAGCATGGCCAGGATTGATGGGAGTGTTGTCAAAATCACCTGGAGTGCACCAGGTTGGAGAAAGCTGATCTAGAAGGTCACTCATGTTCTAGTATGAGTGATAAATTATTATTGTAATTTAATCACAGAATCCTAGAATCCTAGAGTTGGAAGGGACCCTGAGGGCCATCTAGTCCAACTCCTCTCCAATACAGGAATTTCAACTAAACCATCCAACCTGTTATGTCTTCTAAGCATGGCAGTCTGTCTATTAGCGAGACCTAGGAGATGCACCCTGAGCAGGGGAACACTGCTTCTTCTTAAGCTTTATAAACTAGACTAGCTCATTAGCTGAAACAGCTTGATGTGCAGCTGCCATCTGATGCAATGCTGGGCAGCTATGTGGGCTGCAGAATCTGTTCCTGTCTCCTACTTTGACAGCAAGCATTTTAGTTATATCGATGTGTTAATTTTTCTATAAATGCATTAACCTTTAAGTAGGAGGAAGAAAACAATCTAGGACAGTCTTCACCACCCTAGTGCCGTCCAGACATTTTGGCGGCTCCTCCCAGGAGAGCACAAGGCTGATCTAAGACAACACAGCACAGCTGTATGGTCCCCATTTACCAAACTCAGTTCTCATATCCTTCTACTTCCTTAATTTACCTATTGAAAAGGCTTTGACAATGCCTTAAAATAAATGCCTTAAAAAATTATGCTGTGAATTGGTGTCTGTTGTCAAGTGCCAGAACTCAGTGGTAGAACATCTGCTTAAGGACACAAGAAGAGTCTGCTGGATCGGGCCAATGGCCCAACTTGTCCAGCATTGTGTTCTCACAGTGGCCAACCAGATGCCCAAGGGAGGCATGCAAGCAGCATCTGAGCGCAAGAGCATTCATTCTCCTGCCCTGTGCTTTCCAGCAGCTGCCATTCAGAGGCCTTCGCCCTCTGACATTGTCATAGTGGCCAACAGTAGTCTTCACCAGGAATTAGTCTAATCCTCTATGGAAGTAGTCCAAGTTTGTGGCCATCCCTGCCTCCTTTGGGAGCAGATTCCCTCTCTTGACCAGGCACTGTGTGAAGAAGTACTTACTTTTTGTCTGTCCCGAATCCTCCAGCTTCATTGGATGTCCATGTGTTAAGAGAGGGAGAAAAACTTTTCACTATCCATATCATACACACTTTTTATAAACTTCTGTCATGTTTCCTCTTACTCTCCTTTTTTCTAAACTGAATGCTCCAAATTGCTTCAGCCTTTGCTCACAGGGGAGTTTCTTCATTCCTTGCTTTGATCATTTTGGTGGCCCTTTTCTGGATCTTTTCCAACTCTACAATATCCTTTCTGAGGTGTGGTGACCAGATCTGCACACATTATCCCAGATACAGTTGCATCATCTACTTGTATAATGGCATTATGATATTGGTGGTTTTCTTTTCCATTCCTTTCCTCATGATCCCTACCTCTTAAGAACATTATGGATGGATGGAAGGAAGGAAGGGGATGAACATGCTGCACAGCCCCACATCACCCTCCTTTTGTGAAGAATGGGGGCAGGCCCAACACCAGCACCCTCTGTGTCTCTCCCCACCACCCTCCAACTTGCAGAGGTCAAATGCCTCAAGTAGGGAACCCCCTCTACTTGTGAAGGGTCCTCACACATTTAGAAACCCACACAATTGGGGTTCTAAATGAGGTGGAGAGCCTCCACCTGGAGTGGAGCAGCTCCCTCCCCAGCTTCAGATCTTTGCACTCCATGAGTTGGGGAGCAGAAATTAGTGCACTGCGTAGGCTTTGAATACAAGCAGAACACTTGGATGGGACTCCTGATTCACAGTACCAGGTGCCCTTGCATGTGTGGGGGGGAGCCTCCCTTTTTCATCCCAGAATCCCACGCTGGGTCCTCACAAGCAGAAGAGGAGGGTATTGTCTCATCACTCTCGCCTTTGCTTGCAATTAATTCTCCACCCCCTTTTAGCAACGAGACAATCTATCGCTATCTTTGAGACAAGTTCTCATCTGGAACATTAATTTTTGATTGGAACGAACGAGGGAACACACACACAAAATGCCCCGGGAAGTGAGACATATATCCTGGTTTGCAAATAGAGCTGTTTATGGCTAGCTTGCATATGGGACTTTTACAATGTGACAGCATCAGCTGGTAACAGTGTTCCAACATCAGTGGTGACATTTCCACATGCAAAAGCAGGGGAGATAATTAGATCTATTCTTAAAAGTAGGTTGGGGTAAGGGAGTGTTGGCTCTGAAATTCTGTGTGTTAAGCAGAATTTGTAACAATTGCATTGCATCTTAGGCTCTGCATATGTTGAGCAGCGATCATCTTGTTTTGGAGGAAGAGTGTTGTTCAGTGACAGAGAAATGGTATTGCATGCAGTTGGTTCCAGGTTCCATCCTTAGCATCTCCTATGCGATTGGAAAACCTTAGAGCAGCCTTTCCCAACCAGCTGTCCTCCAGATGTTTTGGATTGCAGCTCCTGTCAGCTTCAGCCAGAACACTCAATGGTCAGGGATAATAGGAGTTGCCATTCAAAACATCTGGAGGGCACCAGATGGAAGAAGTATTCCTTAGAAAGTCACTGCCTGTCAGTTCAGACAATACTGTGTGTCCATGATGAGTCCCTGGTATGGGAGCTGGAACTCAAGTTGGTGTGTAAGGCACATAAATCAAGCAGAATATAAAATTTGTAGATGTAAACCTTCAGTTTTAGACCTGTTGTATGGCACATGTCGTCCTCCGAAGTATGTCAATCATAGCAGCACAATATCTGGAAATTGTATATATTATATCGGGTTTTTATTTTGGAGCGGTAAAGAGATATAGAATTGCCCTGTGTGTCCTGGAAATGTGTGTGTTATTGGCACAATAAACCTGTCACGTATGATTGTATAGTACTGGCAATGGAAAGAAATGTGTTCAATTGTTTCTATATGCTCAGAGCCACAAGGGCAGAGCCACAGCCCTCTCCAACCTGGTGCCTGAACTACAACTCCCATTAGCCCCAACCAGCATGGCCAGTGCTCAGGGATGATGGGAGCCACAATTCATTAGCATCTGAAGGCTACAGGCTGCTCACCACCATGATAAGCCCCCAAGTGCTGAATCATTACTGTAGGGAGAAACAAGCTCATTTAGTGACCGTGTCTGAGACATGCTGTCTAAATCGGGTGCTGTTCTAACCCATTTTGTATGTGGGCATGTCTGGGCTACGGCTGCATTTCTTGTGCTGCCAAATGAATTGTGATCAGACCTGACAAGGCCTTTAAAGGGTAGAAGAAGCTGTGGTTCTGCCGTTTCGCATCACAGGCCCAATATATGTCCTGTCACTCTTGTCTGAAAATTGTTTCCCACCCCCACAGCCACCCTGCTTTTCTGCCAAAGCTTTTCTGATTTAATCCTGGCAGCTCCCAAAATAATTTACATGTTATTTGGCAGTGCTGCAATCTTCTATGTGCTGGTTCCCTTGTGTTAGTGTGTGTCCATATGTCAATGCATATCTTACTTTTAGTGTAATGGTGCAGTTGTGATTGGGTTTCTCACAACTGTCTTTTATAGGCCTTAACGGAATTCTGAAAACGGCCATCTGCTGTGGTGGTTGAGTCCTCATAGAATCATAGAATCATAGAGTTGGAAGAGACCACAAGGGCCATCGAGTCCAACCCCCTGCCAAGCAGGAAACACCAACTCAGGATAGCTCTGTTCTGCTTCCTCCGCCGGAGGCAGCCGTGCTTCTGAATACCAGTTGCTGGAAACCCCAAGAGGGGAGGGGGCTCTTCTGCTCATGTGCTGCTTGCTGGTTTCCCACAGATTAACTGGGTGGCCACGGTGAGAACAGGAGGGTGGGCTAGACGCGCCATTGACCTGACCCAGCAGGTTTTTCATATGTTTTTAGAGTGCTCCTCATGGAGAGAGTTGCACAATCTCTTTCCCTGCCACCCCTTGGATGCAGAAGCCATGGGTTGCCTCCCTTTTCACATAGGTGTCTGCATTTTCCATGGCCTTGATATTCCACCACCCAGACAATAAACATGTGTGCCATTCTGGAACCTGGAATTGTTATAGGTGCCACAAAATACCCATTTTCCGCATTTGTATGAAAGCAATATTTTGGTGTGGCAGCATCTATACTTTGGAACTCCCTGCCTATTAACACCGGGCTGGCACCTTCTCTGTACTCTTTCAGTGCCTGCTAAAAACATTTTAGTTTAGACAAGCCTACCCAGACATGTAGACAGTGGCAGAGCTTCATGCTCCAGCACCGGGGGCAGAGAGCAGGCGGGGGCCTGGCTGGCATGTGTGTGGCATGCCACCCGCAGGGGTGTGGTGCGTGTCCTGGAGCATGGTGTGCTGCCCACAGGGGCGTGGCACGGCGCCCAACGTGCGGTGGGGGCAGCCATGATGGCACCCCACCAGGATCATGGTGCCGGGGCCGGTGCACTCCCCCCGTCCCCCTCTTCCTCTGCCAGTGCGTGTAGAATATTGATAACATACCGATACTTAAACGAGTTTTTCACTTGTTGATTTTTTAAAAATGTTGCAAATAGTTGGTTTTTAAGTGTTTTTACTAATAATTTTATTGTCTTATTCTCTTTGTAAACCACCTTGAGGTTTTTATTTGTTTTTGTTTTTACAATCAAGTGATGCATAATAATTTTTCCATAAATGAATAAATAAATAACTCGGGATTTAAACCCAGCAAAAAAATACTGGCTCTTAAGAGATATTTTATATCTTCTACATTCTTTTAATATGCTCACAAACAGTCAATGGATAGATCAGCCCTTATTTCCACAGTAGCAGCAATGCAGATTATGGGTAGGAGGCAGTGATAGAACGATGCTGCATTGATCTCCTTCTCCCTGAGCTGTCGATCAGTTCGGTCTTTCTGCTCTTTTACAGGTATGCAATGGGTTAGATCAGCCTCGGAAACAGCAGCGTTCTGATCTCAATGGACCAATCAACAACAATAATATGCCAGAGGCAAGTACTAGAGGCCAAGGTGCTCTGTTTCCCCTCTCCTGCCTCCATCTCATATTTCACGTCATGCTTCTCTCTTCCAAAGCCCTTTGCATTGCAGAAAGACATTGGGGGGGGGTGTATGATGAATCACTGAAGAAAGATTTTAGAGCTAAACTGTTCTATTTATGTCCAGAATTTATTATATTCTATCTTTGCATTATTTTTATTTCAGTTAGAACATTAAAACAAACTGATACAAAACAATCAAAACATTCCAAAGGTCACATGGAGGGGGGGGGGAGTTCCTTCCCAGTTAACCCAGAAATTCAATGGCTAAAAGATACTCTTCGTGGCAGCCCTGAAATCATGGGCCAAGAGAGTGTGATTGTTTTAACTGTATCTGGAGTGTTTTTCATGGCATTGTTATCAATGTGCTGACCGACCTGAGCTCCTTTGGGAGGAAGGGTTAAGTGGAAATTACAACAACAACAACAACAACAACAACAACAACAACATGCTTACAGCGGGGGTGGCCCACCTGGCCATGATCCGTGGTGAAGGGGGATAAGAGACATCTGTGGTGCTGGAGGCCGGCCCTTTGTGGTTTGTTTAGGCTGACATTTAAGGTGATACATTTAGGGTTAAACTCAGAGACTGTTTTCTCAGAGGTGTGTGGAGGTGTCAGTTGTACACACAAACACACAAGTCTGTCCGTAATACTAATTTGTGACAATATAAGCACTGCCTGCCCCCAGATGAGATTTGAGACTGTGCCAGGTTTTGGGTTTTTTTAAAAAAACCAGGAATGACACTTGGGCGTTCTTATGCTGATGAGACTTTTCAGAAGTGTGTTCTTCTGAGCTGCAAGGATGCCGGGGAAGTGATGACAGTTTTAAAGAAAATACATCCATAAAAACAGTGCTAACCAGCAGATTGTACAAGATTAATTTGCATATGGAGTTGAGCCATGTTCAATAACGCAGAGATTACTTTTTAAGAGGGGTGCTGCTGCTTTTAATCAAGAACACATAATTGTTATGTTGCCAAGCCCTTAGCAACTTCTTAATTGTTCACCTTCACCGCGCCTAAGAAGCTTCTTCTGCTCCTTCCTGCTTCCATGCAGAGGAAACAAACCATAATCTCTGGCTTGGCATTTCATCTAAACTTTGGACTGCGGTGGGTTTCACTCCCAACAAACCACAGTCAGTAAGGGGGAAAAAAGAATCTTGTTTGTTTGGAGAGAGACTAACCATGACCCCCTGGTACGAATGTAATGCTAAGCCAGAGATCATGGTATTCTCCCTGCCCAGGGGATGGGAATAGCAGAGCTATCACTTATTGTGATGTGTGAATCAGGCCAATGTCATGTAGCCGCCTAAAATTATGGTAATTATGATGAAAAATGAATGAAAAATGCTTCTGTTCTTCCTCCGCGTCCTGTGCATGCATTTTTCATAATAAACATCTTACTATTTCTATAGAATTATAAGCTCTTTATTTTTATATCCACACAGACAAAGAAGGTGTCCTCCTTCCCAAGCTTTGTTGATGGTAAGTGCATCTTCACGGGATTCCTAATGGTTATAACATTAAGACTGCAGGGGTGGTGATGGGGAATCCTGACTTATCGAGAGATGATTTATCACGTGCCAAGAGATTTATGAGACTTGGGGGCAGCTGTGTCTCCTTCCTGAGACAACCCTGCATTCTACAGGGAGAGAAGGGGAGGGATTGAGAAACCTTTGCAGCTTGAGGGCCACATTTCCCAAAGTGCAGCCTGCCAGGGGCCACATGCCAGTGGTCAGAGGGGCCGGAGTCAAAAGTGGGCAGAGCAACAGATGTGCCTTTTGTGTGGCTGGAACGTGGCCTCTTATCGTTAAAAGCTGGGAGATTTCTGTGCTTACATAGAAGGGAAGTGAGTCGCTTTATTGTTTAATCCAGGGTTGGAGAGCCTGTTGATTCCAACTCACACCAGCCCCAGCCCCCTTGGCCCAGTGAACAGCCATGATGGGAGTTAGTAGTCCCACAAACTGGAGGTCCAGCCCAGCTTTCTTCAACCTGCCAATCCTGTTATCAAGCCCCAAATATATGCTTGCTTTTCCCACCCCAGTTTAGAGGCTTGAAATGAACTAGATGGTCAACAGCTGGTTTCCCTATATGGCTTAGACCAGTAGTTCCCAACCTTTTTTTGGCCATGCCCCACCTAAGCATCTCTAAAATCCTGATGCCAATCCCACCCCCGTGACATCAAATTCTTATTATTCAAAGTGAACTCCTATTCACATGGAGGAAGCCTAAATTTCACTACTAATAACTCATTCACAATTTGTCCCCCTTAAAAATCGAATTGCCCCCCTGTGGGGCATGTGTCCTACGTTGGGAACCACGGGCTTAGACTGAATACTGTTAAGAAACTGTGCTTATGTCCTTTAGAGATGGCATTTCTTTTTTGCTTCCAGCCATTTGGAGAGTGCACCAGATTATGAGAGTCCCGTTAATAGAAATCAGTGCAATTTCTATTTTACAGGCTAAATAAATTGGCATTTAGAAGTCCTCCACAGCAAGGCATATTATGCAGACTTATTTGTGTGGTTCTAGCACCCCTCTGACTTTGGGACTTTTAATTAGTATACTAATAATTGGTGCTGATGGCCGACCTAATGAAATTAAACTTCTTTGTATGATTGATCTTCACTGAGAATCTTCTTGACGGCAGAGGGTGCAAGGTCCACTTAGCTGTGCCTCATTTGTCCTTTTCTGAGGCTGACATTATGGATGCTTCTTGTCTTCCATTAAATCTGACTGAGAGAGAAACCAGCTCTTGTTGACGGGTTGTGCATGCAAAAGCAGGCAGAGCTGGCACAGAGTAGAGAGCACCCTACAGTGCCCTCCTACACGTGTCTACTCAGGAGTCAGCCCTATTAAGTCCAGTGTGGCTCACTGCCAGTTAGGTGTGTGTTGAATTTCAGCCATGTGTGTGTGTTTGTTTGTTTGTTTGTGTGTGTGTGTTTCACCCCCCCCCCAAACTAACAGGTTATTTATGACAAAAGTGATATAAGCTTTTTATCAGAGACTGAATTGTCCCTGGAATATTTTCTCCTAATGCGGCTAAGTCCATAAAAGCAAGGCTATGTATGGTGCTTAAATGCGTAAGAGAGCAATCCGAAGCATGTCTACTCAGATGTAAGCACAGCTGAATTCATTTGGACTTACTAGCAGTAAGTGTGCAAAGCATAGCAGCTATACTTGAATAAAAAACATAGATACATTCCTCTGATCCTGTTGGGTTCTTTTATACTTTGTCATGTATAACCTGTATGTATTAACTAGGATTGTAGGCCTTGGCTTAATTCAAGCAAAGGAGCCCTCTTGAAAGATCAACCCTAAATCCCCCCAACCCCCCATTTTTGCTCCAGGGAGAGAGTAGCTGCTTTGCATGCAGAAGGTCCTGAGTGACGTCACCTGCAACTACTATTAGAGGGACAAATCTTTGTCTGAGTCCCCAGAGAGCTGCTACCAGCCAACATGTTGCCTTCCAGATATTATGCAACTGCAGCTCCCATCATCCTGGGGCTGAATGGGAATTGGAGTTCAACAGCATCAGAGGGGCACCACGTTGCCTACCCATGGAGTAGACAGTGCAGGGCTAGATGGAGAGATAACCTGACATGGCATCTTCCTTCATTGCTTTATTGCCATAGAACTTCGTAAAAGGATTGTTGTAGCCCAGAGCACCTGGCAGGCACCAGGCTGGTGAGGGTTGTGTCAGCTATGCCTCCACTGTCCCAGCAGCCTCCTGTCCAGATAACCTCCCCTCCCCTGCCCACATTCGTTACATGGGGAGACAATGCTCTGCTTCTAGTCTTGGGTCAATTATTGCACTCATTTTGGCTTTAAAAGAGGAGAAACTCAGTCTTATTGGTCATTCTCTCTGCCCTTTGAGGCTCCAGCTGGAAGTATGTCTCTTGATTCGCCACATCCCCCTTGACTGCTGATTTATCAGTCTTTTCAGTCCTTCAGTTTTCAGTCTCTTCCTCCATTTCTCTGAACAGCTTCCAGCTCCAGCTGCAGTGAGCATGTTCAGAGCTTCTGTTTCTGTCACCACATTGCTGAAGGGAGGGAAAGTTCATTCCCTGACACTTGCAACCAGCAAAACTTGGCTAAGGTCTGGAAACAGCAGAGATTGCAGGAGACACAGGTGCCTGCAAATCTCAGCACACAAAATAAAAGGTGGCTTGAGATCTCCCAGTCTCACCGCTGCACACCCTCCCTTTGAAGAGGATCTGAGTGACGTTTTGTTAATAAGTTAGTCTGGTCAGGAGCCAGAAATGTCATTGTAGCATAAACAAGCAAATATAGCATTAAAATGATATGGCAAAAATAAAAAGCTAAATACACCGAGTGGACTTCAGTGAAGCACCATGATGAATTTTCCATCTGTGCAAGCATTTCAGCTTGTCAGATAGAATGGCCCCCTGTCCTCCCCACATCTGCTCTTCTGTGGGGAGGGTTCTCCTGACCAATGTGCCAATGTGAGGGAAATGGGGGCACAGGGGGAGGAGAGGAAGAAGCCCCATTGTGCACAGGGAAGTTCATCTGCAGAGATTCTCCTGATGGGACTTGTTAGGTGAACGACTAATGCAGTGGATTTACTCTGAGTAAACATAGCTGGATACAACTCTCTGTTTTTAAAGAATGTAATAATATAAATTTGCATTTTAATAAAACTTTAGAAAAGTGCAAGGTGTCAATCATTCCATTTGTAGCCATTTGGCCAAACATATGCAAAGTGAAGACCTATTTGCAGAGAGCTGGGGAAAGTGCAGAAAAGAGCAACTGAAGGCAGCAAGGAATTATAGGCCCTTCTCTGTGAGCAAAGACCAAGGGCCCTGCACGGAGTCCCAGCTAATCTCTGCTCTGGAAAGCTAGGACCCTGTGATAATTATTTTACTGCATTTTAAAGTTGTTGTTGTTTTTATTTTAATGAAATCAACAGCAGCGTCATTTTATTATAGTGTTGCTTATGGAACCTTGGGCACTTTGATAGTCTGGCATATCTGGTAATGCAGGGTGCAACATTTTAAACTAATGGTGAAATCTTAGAGCTGGTTGGTACAAGGAAGCGCCTCCAAAGCTACCTCTTCTGACTGCTCCCAGATCCAGGGGTTCATCTCCACCAATATATTTCCCCTTCTCGTTTCTGAGATTACAGGTATTGTGTGCTGGTCCTGCCCTCAGAGCAAAGCAGGTTGGCTGGCTCAGCACCAAGGAGGGCAACATGGGGTGCATTTAAGTGTGAGGGTTCTGGTGTTAGTTTCCCTCGTTATAAGGCCTTCTTCTCTGCTGCAAAGACTTGTCCTCCTGTGCTCAGGTCCTGCTTACAAGTTTCCTTCAGGCATCTAGTTAGCCACTGTGAGAACAGGATGCTGGACTAGGTGGGCCAGAGGGCATGCATTTCACTGCCATTACTTATGAATCACCCCTAGCTGGCCAAGGTTTCTCTACAACCCTTTATCCGCTTTGTATCTGCTTAACTGTCAGGACTGCCCCCAAAGGACCATGGGAAATGGAATTTGGTGACATTCGCAAATCTGAGGACTTTTTGGTAGTTTTTCAAGGGGCAGTTTCCTCCCAGATGGCATGTGGGATGAGGTTTGGCACTGGTGGAACAGGGACTTCAGTCATATTATCACCACCACCCTGCACCCTCTCAAGAACTATGCTTTTGGTGTGTGTGTTGGGGGAAGTGTGGTGGCCCCTGTTCCCTCCCCTCCTCCAAATGCCCCAGAATACTGCAAAGGGGCCATTCTGGGGGGAAATAGAAGAACATAAGAAGAGCCTGCTTGAAAACATCTCCTGCTTTTAAGTATCCCACATTTCTTCCTCCCCCCGCCCCTCTCCAGTTCAGGCATTTAGCTCTCAGCTCAGCCTCAGATTGGGGAGGATGGTGAGAGTTTTCTCTTCCTGACTCACAGCCCTCTTTCTTTGGGGAGGTGAAATTGCCATTAAAATGGTTTGAAGTTGGTCTTGTTATATCTTGCCCCTAAGTTCTTCTGCTTTACTTTTAATTTTAACACTGTTTTTTGCTTCCTTGTTCCCTGACCCACAAGTGCATGGACCGAATGTTCTTGTTTAAATATTTGTTGCTGCTGTTGCGCTGTGCTCTTTGCAATTAGCTAGGCATTGACAGCAAAAGGATAGTCTATTGAGGGCAGTGTGTGGAAGTACGGAGTGCTCTTCCTTGCTCCGTTTTGCCTCTCTGCTTCTCTGTCTTAGGAGAGAAATAATTGCCTGCCTTCTGGCTTTTTAGTTCCAGGACCTTGCGAACCCGAAGACCTCATTGATGGCATCATCTTTGCAGCCAATTACTTGGGCTCCACACAGCTGCTCTCGGAGCGCAACCCCTCCAAAAACATCCGAATGATGCAAGCCCAGGAGGCGGTGAGCCGCGTCAAGGTAGATGTTTTCGATCCATGGAAGAGGATTTGGGATCCCTTGATGATTGAACTCAGAAGAGTCGGAAACATCTGCTCCTCGGCATCCACAGCAGAGAATTCCCGCATGGCTGTGGCAAAACCCTCTCGGCTCCCACCATTGCGTTAATTTCTCTCTCCCTGCTACCCAAACTGTGTGTGTGTGCAGCCACAGAGCAGCAGAATATAAATAATGCACAGGTTCTTTCAAAGTTCCCCCAAATCAGAGTAACAGCCAGTTGTGGCTTTCCAGGCTTGTGTTGCAAAAAGCTCAGATAAATGTTTTCATATCCTTGTATGTTGTGGATATCTTAGTGTTGCTTCATCATTACTTTTGGTGGGTGGAGTGGAAGGGAGTATCTATATTTTTATTTTATTTTTTATTTATATTTTATTCCAGTGGGTTACAGTAAAGTAAATAAGAGAAGAAGAAAGAAGGGAAAAAAGAAACAGGAAAAAGAAAAAGGATGCACAAACATTTTAAAAGGCAGGGGGAAACAACAGTAACAAAATAATAATAACATATAAATACAATAACAATAATTTACATAACAATGTAGTATATAGGTTAATGAATAAACTTATTGTTTTCCCCAGGTATATGTTGGTCCATGGGTCACTATGGTTTTGAGAAATACGTTCTAAATATCATTAAATATGTCCATGCATATGTCCAAGCAATCCATTCATGGGTTGCAAGAGTTGTCATGTCACCAATCCATTGATTGAAAGGGGCCATATTTCCCCCCTGCAATATATTACTATCATTCTTTTTGCAGGTATAAGGACAGAGAGTGTCTATATAATGAAAAGTTGAAAATAAATGCAGAGGAGAATTACAGATAACCACATGTAAAATCACATCTTATGATATCTTGGCCAATCCATTATTAATTTATTTCATAAGATTTGTACATCGTTTGATTGGTATAAGAAAACCCCTCAAAGTGGGTTACCAGAGTTTTAAACAGTAACATTATCAATAAGAAGAATTAACCATTTAAAGCTTTTAAAGAATTTAAATCAACAATAAACTAAAAACAGATTAAAATTTGCATCAGCTTTCTGAATACTTGGGTTGACTAAACAGAAATGGTTTTAGCAGGTTTCAAAAAGAACAGAGTGAGGGCGCCTGCCTGATATCAACAGGCAGGGAGTTCCAAAGTGCAGGTGTTGCCGCATTAAAAGATCAAGCTCTTACAAATGAGGAACTGACATCATGTGACACCTGTCACATTAGAAATTATGTTAACATAAGCAAATACAAAAGGCCCGCAATGGAAATTGAGTGGAAAGAGGTGCGTAGAAATAAAATTAATAAGGTGCCAAGCTGAGGGGCACAACATCAATAAGAAGAATAAGAATAAGAATAATGTTCAACCTAAGCTTACTGCATATTGGCAACAACAGAGCTGGTTAGCTAAATTACCCATTAGGTAACAACACTAATGGGTGGTGGTGGAGAGCCAGGGAGGGGAGGCACATCTGTGAAACTGCCTTACCTGCTGCTCCTAGAAGTTAGTCTGAAACACTCTTGAATCTAAGCGATGCCTCCCTCCCCTGGTAGACACGAGGTCTAGGATCCTTGCTCTTTAAGAGGCATGTATGGAACAAAAAAAAGGGACGCGGGTGGCGCTGTGGGTAAAACCTCAGTGCCTAGGACTTGCCGATCGTATGGTCGGCGGTTCGAATCCCCATGGCGGTGTGAGCTCCCGTTGCTCGGTCCCAGCGCCTGCCCACCTAGCAGTTCGAAAGCACACCTAAGTGCAAGTAGATAAATAGGGACCGCTTTATAGTGGGAAGGTAAACGGTGTTTCTGTGTGCTGCGCTGGTGCAGGCTCGCCAGAGCAGCTTTGTCACGCTGGCCACGTGACCCGGAAGTGTCTTCGGACAGCGCTGGCCCCCAGCCTCTTAAGCGAGATGGGCGCGCAACCCCAGAGTCGGTCACGACTGGCCCGTACGGGCAGGGGTACCTTTACCTTTACTATGGAACAAAAACTTGTATTATTTATCTTTGATTTTATTGCATTTATATCCCATCTTTTCATCCAAGGAACTCCAAGTGGCTTACATGGTTCTCCCCCTCCTCATTTAATCCCCACAACAACCCTGTGAGGCAGGAAATGCAGAAGGGAAAGCAGCCCTCTCGCCAAAGGGGTGTTCCCCAGCCCTGGTGCAGCTCCACTCCTTCATCTTCCCAGTTCCTGCCGCTTATGCGGGTTCTCTCATTCATTCATTCATTCATTCATTCATTCATCCCCTTTTCTCTCAAGGAGCTCAAGGCGGTGCACAAGGAATTGTCTGTTGTTGCTTGGCTAGTAAGAAAGCTTCTAAATAGCCCACAATAGCTGTATGCGCAAATATCTTAACTTCTATTGGGCTGGTAAAGCATATGCCAATATATCCTTGGAGGTTCCCTGGAGGTTTTTAAACAGAGGTTGGATGGCTATCTGTCGGGGAATCTTTGGTGCTGATTCCTGCATTGAAGAGCATTGGACTAGATGACTTTGGGGGTCCCTTCCAGCTCTACAGTTCTATGAAATACAACTCATGAAGATACTTGCAGACATTTGACATTTTTGTGGTCAAGGCACCTTGCACAGCCCAGTGTCACTAAATCTCAGCATTAAATACAGGTTAAAAGTGTCACTGCTCATTCTCGTTAGAGAAATAGCATTTCCCCCTTTTAATTGCTTTCCCCATTCCGGCTCCTAATGAGTGGTTTGGCTTTCAAGTAAAAAAAAAGAGAAACTGGCAACCACAAACGAAACTTGATTTGTATTGTGCCAAAGTGCAGCATTGGTTATCAATTTCAATGCTGTCTGGTTTTCTTTGATAGGCAGTCTCTCAAAGACGGTTGACTGCTGCTATTTTAATAGCGGCTCAGTGCTGCATGCATCTCTTCATAAGAAGGGGGCAGCAAAACTATCTTGTTCTTTCTTTTTAATTTATTACATAGAATATAAATTTCTGCCCCAGTTTAGTCCTCTTTTCTTGCAATGAGATGTTACTGCATTTGCTGGGTAGCCTGTCTCATTTCAAGGGCTCATTTCAATAATCAATTCTTTATTGTGAAAGATAACACTTACAGTCACTTCTACAGCTCTGGAGACATAGCCACACCAATCTAGCATCTCGGCAGCTATTCCCAGGTCCACACTCTATGGCGCAGTTGCAGCAACCCGGGACCACTCTCCCTCCACCAGTTTATGTACCTTCCTCTGACAGGCAGCACACTCACAGCCGGAAGCTGCGCCTGCATGGAAACTTCCTCTGCTCATTCTGGGAGACAGGGGTGCAGAAGGGCATGGGGAGCACCTGGCTCTTCACTTACCTGACCAACTCTTCCTCCTCCTCCTCTTCTGGCTCATTCTGTGCTCCACCCTCCAGCTCTGAAGCTTCCCCTGCTTTTGACTCTTGCCTTCTGGCCAGAACAGTACCCCACAATTCACTGCCCCCCCTATCCAAGTCAGGCTCCAGCCCCCCTTCCTTGATTAAGAGCCTCCTGGAAGGATCTGGCTGACCACCATGTGGATGCTGGACTAAAGGGACCTTTGGTCTGATTTTGTTGTGCTGTTACAAATGTGTACCTGGACGCACATGTGCACAGCCAGCACTCCTGTGAGGTTTCGTTTTTTTTGCTGGAATTATGATGTTCACTTGTTATGGACATGTTTTGACCTTTAACCTTATGCCCCCAAGAAGCTCTCACACAAAGAAATAAAGAAAACTTGGTTTATTATATAAAATAGGAGTGACAGACTATATAAAAATGCTGCTTTAGACAGCAGAGTTACAGTCTGCTCTGAGTAGGACTAGCCTTGGATATAACCTTATGGTTTACAAGGAGCTATGAGCCTACAACAGCCTTCCCCAATGAGGGACTCTTTAGAAGTTGTGGAACTCTTGACTCCCACCATCTCTGAACACTGTCCAATCTGACTAGGGGTGATGGGAGTTGGTTTCCAAGCATCTGGAGGGCACCAGGTTGAACTATGATGCCAGTGCCAGTTTAAGCTGCCCCAGAAGCATCTGAATTTGTTTTGATATTCTATCTTAATGGAGAATTTATTTTTATATGTATCCCTGCCCCCACCCCACTTTGTTGGCTGCACTGAGGGCCACAGAACTTATGCAAGTCTTGGGTGGTTTTTTTAGGTTACAGTAATTTCCTTTGCAAAAGTGGAAGAAAGAGGCATAACTCACTGATAGAGTACTGATTTGGCATGGGAAAGTTCCCAGGTTCAATCCCTGGCATCTTCAGTTAAAATGATCCTACAGCAGGTGATGGGGAAGATTTCTGTGTGGGGCCCTGGAGATCTGTTGCTGGCCCAAGTAGGCACTGCTGGACTGGATGGAATGTGTGGTCTGTGTCAGCTATCTTCTTATGTCTCTGGAGGAGGGGCTGTAGTTATGTGGTGAATCCTGTGCTCTGCATGCAGAAGGTCCCAGGCACAATTCTTGGCATTTCCAGTGTATCTGGGCTGGATAAGGCTCTTCTTGTCTGAGATTTGGGAACCCTTTGCCAGTTGGGCTGGATAGAGCATTGGTGGGACTCCAGTATATGGCAGCTTTCATACATTTGCTTGTATGGCCAATCTGGAGAAAGTTTGAATCTTTTGACATTTGCACAATTTGTTTTTTATAGGATGGAGGGATCTTGTACATTTCCCGCACTTGCTAAAGTCAGAGAAAGAGAGCCCAAAAGGGGAAGGTTTGCAGGAAACTAAGTTTGTATGGACAGACTGAGAAGGAACTGGGGTTCAGTTTTGCTAAGTGACAAGTTGAGAGGCAACTTGACAAGCGTTTGATAGTATTGCGACTAGCAACGTGATTCTTGACGTAAAAGTGGGTGTGGTTTTGACAGGCATGTGGAAGCTGTTCCTGCTTTCGCTCACTAGTCCTAAGCTCTGACCTAATGACATCATTGGGTTATGTGGGCTGTTGTTGTTGTTTAGTTGTTTAGTCATGTCCAACTCTTCGTGACCCACTGGACCAGAGCACGCCAGGCACTCCTGTCTTCCACTGCCTCCCACAATTTGGTCAGACTCATGTTTGTAGCTTCGAGAACACACAGGGGGTCTATTGAACTTCACTAGACAACATCTATGTGGGCTGGGCTACAGCAATATCAGAATGATCCAGCTTGGAGGATTAACTCCATGTCCTAGGATGCAAAAGCTTGGTTTCTGCATTTGGATATTAGATGGCATGGGATTTGGGGGTTCACTGGAACAGATTGGGGTTGCAACTGCATGTGTAGTATGGAAATATAATCTGCAGCTAAGATCAACAAAATTATGCAGCAGTTTCTGTAACCGATGGATGATACTGACACACATGTACACACATATAAAGACCAGCAACAGCCTTCCTTCCTTTATTTCTGTAGATAATAGGTTTGAGAATCTTTTGATGAAAGATTTCCCTGACTTCACATAATATCTCTTTCTCTCGTTTTCTTTTTGTGCATTTGTCTGTTTCCCTTTTTATTTTTAAATGCTTCTCCCCAGAGGATGCAAAAGGCAGCTAAAATCAAGAAAAAAGCGGTGTGTAGACTGTTTTTCTTGAATGCTATTGTCTGTTTTACATTTGGTTATTTTTGTTGTTTATGTTTTCTGTGGTCTTTGTGCATCCTGGAGTGTTGTGTCTCTCATTGTGGATCTCCGTCAAGCTGTAGCTTTCTGTTTTTGCTCATTTTAAAATGCAGTTGACCATTGGAGTGGGAAAGATTGGTTGGCTTCATCAGAGACCTTCCCATTTTCGCAGGGTTGGTTGGTTTCATTAGAGAGTTCCCCACTTTCCTGCTAAATAACTCCTCTTTTCCTCTGTGGCTATCCATCCCAGTGAAATGGTTTTTTTTTTGTGGGGGGGTGATTTTGTTGTTGTTCTTGTTGTTTTGCTAAGCCTGGATAAACATCACATTTTCCTCTTGCAGGAGTTTATTTCCATCTGACATACTTTATTGCTTTTTGGAGGAGAAGCATCCAAGACTGGTGTTGCAACCCAATATTCATTACTATTTACAATTTATTAGAGCTTTTTTTGATACCACTTAATCATTTCTAACCAGTAAACATACACATTTCAAAAAAACATACATAATAAAAAACACAGAGAACTTTCTTAAAACATCTGTGGGGATAGAAAAGTCTTTGTCAAGCACCTGAAGTTCAGCAGGGAGGGGACTTGGTTAGTCTCAACTGGGAGGGAGTTTTGTAGACTTGATTACTGCATGCACATTATTACTGCACCCACATTACTGCATGCACAACTTATGGTGGATATGGGCTGTACATGGGGAACCAATATATACAACTTCACACCATGCGTTTGAAGCACATTCAGTGCACATTTATAGCACATCACTTTTCCCAAAGAATACTGGGAACGGTAGTTTTCCTCTCTCAAAGCTACAACTAATTGCCAGTTTGTTTTTGGGCCCTGTTTAGGGTGTTGGAAGCCATAAATGACTCAAGCCCCAAATATCTGAAAGACTGCCTACAGCACCTTACAGAACTTCCTGCTGAGAAGTTCCTCCACCCTCAGAGGCTCATGGGGTGGCGGCCTGGGAAGAGGGCCTTCTCTGTGGCAACCCTGTGGTTCTGCCTTCCCACAGAGGTGTGTCTGGCTCCTTGATTTTACAGCTTCTGGTGAATGCTGAAAATGAGCCTCTTTGCCCTGACTTTTGACACTTGAAGTAGATATTTTTAGGACCCACTTTATTTTTGTGACATTGAACAGTTTTTAATATTGTGTTTTAACTTTGTAATCCACCCTGGGACCTTAGAGTGGGTGGTGGGTGGTAATAATTATTCCTGACACCCTTAACCAACTACAGTTTCCAGGATTCTCAGATGAAGACTTGTGGGAACTGTAGTTTACCCCACAGATCTGCAGTTCCCAGCACCCTTAACATACTGCAGTGCCCAGGATACTTTGGGGAAGACCATGCACTTTAAATGTGCACTGGATGTGCTCTTACATGGTGTGGATCTGCCTTAACAGAGACTCACCCGAAGATACCAGTGATGATTTCATAAGCTCTGACTACACTGCCATGGTCCAAACTTTTTCTCTCATAATGTAGATTTGGTGGTGGCAGTCAAATAGCTTATTCCTCAATAATCTCACCACAGCCCCTTAGGCTGCGTACACAGGATAAACTCGAAGCACATTCTGAGTGGTGGAACCACAGTTCCCAGCAATTTGCTTTAGCAATCTACAGTGCCCAGAATTCTTTGAGGGAAAGAATGCATTTTAAAGGTATTGTGTGTACAAAGCACAAAATGGGGGCCCACCTCAAACTTTTTGTTGCCCCGAGGTGTGTGCTGAACAACAGCAGAAGTCAATATTGCAACGTTGCTGAAAGTGTGGGCACGCAACTCTTAGATCAAAAGCCCGTTGTGTTGGTTGACCATTGAAAAGACTGTTCCTCTTAAGCTGCCTGTGCAGCAGTGCCAGCCTTGACTGAGGTGAGGTCTGACTTCCTTGAGCTCAGAGGGAATGCTCAGAGCACCTGCTTTGCCTTGCAGAAGGTCCTTGGTCCATGTCCAGATGGAGACCCTGTCAATCCAGTTCTGAGGAAAATGGACTCTTGTTCTGAGCAGAGGGCAGCTTCACCTCTGTCTGAACACAGCAGTCCTTCACGAGTTAAACAACCCTGTTATATAAACAACTCTTTGGGTTGTGTGAATTGACTTTTTTGTCTTCCCTTTGTGCAAGTGAGCAAACAGAATAGGTCTTCCATTGAGTGTAGTTTCCTGTTATTATGCAAAATAAATACTTTGGCTAGATAGTCTTCTTCACCTGTAACTGGAGGGGGGAGGGAGAGAGATGGAGAAAAGCATCATTTTGGGGGAATGGGGGTGAGGGAGTTACTGGGGCTGTAGGATTCTTGATCATCACATATTCCCCAGAATACCCTGTGCATGTGGGGAGGCAAAATGGTAGTTGCCAGTGGGGACTGCCATTTGTGGAATGCTACTGCCTCTCCACTCACCAAATATAGGTCGTTCAGGAAAATTGAAAATAGTTGTTAGCAGCCTGACAGGGCCCTGCAGTACTCCAATAAGCCTTCCCCACCCTTCCATTTCTTTTCTTTTATTGCTGAGAGGCCTCCAGTCAGGGCCGGCCTGTCCAGGAGGCAGACTGAGGCAGTTGCCTCAGGCAGCAGAATCTGTGGGGTGCCTCTGCAGGGATGTCTCCCCTGCCACTAGAGAAGCGAGGAGAAGAGACTGCTGCAGCTTCTATGTTCAGGCAAGATTGTGTGAGAGCCCTGTGAGATTGCGCAGAGGCCTCTGGGGCTCATGGGAGTCCTCACCAGAATCTGGCAAACGCAGCTGCATGACTGTAATATGCAAGGCTTTGGCAGGGGCAGCAAGGGGTGGGGGGCCGCACAGCACTTGCTCAGGGTGGCACCTTCCCATTTTGCCTCCAACATTTTGTCACAAAAATGAGGGATGTTGTGTCCAGCCCTGGCACAAACTCATTGTAAGCTGACGTTAATTCTTTAATTTTGAGCTGGAATATATCAGCATGTTAGAAGAGAATGGTTACAGTTCTCCGAGAAAAGAAATGAAATTATTAAAGTGAGCTCATAGCACCTGTCCACAAGGAAGGCATCTCTGCTGCATCTCTGTTGCGACTTCACTCACTTCCAATGAAGAGGCAGAGGAGGATTTTCCACACTCACATGAGTTCTCCTGTTGTGTCTCTGTATGAGCCCCTGAGCTGGGCTTACTTCACTATATAAAGTGCCTTACACACTTTATAAAAGGAAAGCTTTTATGGTCTTATTGTAGTGTAACACCTTCAGTTTTATTGTTTAATTTTTTTAAATTGTGTGCTCAACTTGCACAAGGCACTTTTTTAAAGGGGCTCTGCACCTGTGATCTAAGACTAGGGATGGACAGAAGGTAGGTTCACTGGTAGATCTCTCGGCTATTAGCAGTAGAGCCACCAATAGTCCCAGGTTTTTGTTTTGTTTTTTTACAAAAATAAATAAAAGCAACCCACACCCCCAAATTAGGTTGCTAAACTTGGGGTGAGGTAGGAAAACCAGGAATGGGACCTTGGGGTAGAGGGCAGACTAAATTAAATTTTGTGTGAAAGGACTGCGAGGTCAAGCTGTAGTACTGAAAGCAAATTCTCATGCTCAGAGGCACCCTGATCCTTGATGGTTGTCATCTATCTGGTCCTTTTCCATCTGGCTCTGGTTGGTGAACTTTGGGGTTCTACTAAAAGAAGAAGAAACCCAAAAGTATACTCTGCAAACCTAAAGTCTGCCCCCCTCCTGCTTCGATGATCTAAGGAATCAAGACAACCATGAGTCTTAAGGCATCTCAAAAAACTTTACAACCTCATTGGGGCTTAAGCTCTTGTGGGCTAGAGCCCACTTTGTCAAAAGCCTAATGAATTTGTTAGTCTGCAAGGCATATTCTTGATGCAATAGAGTAATGCAACCAATCCCTCTTGAACTTGTTACTCTTAAACTTAAATGGGTTTCTCTTGTCAAGAGAATTCATCTCCTGTTCCCTTGCTGGCTCCATCTTCTGAGATGCCAATGTGAGAAATCCTTATTTTAGGACACTCTCAAGTGAACTAGGCCCTAAGAATGCTCCTCTCTCAATCTCTGTTTGTGCATGTATATTGGAAATGGACCATTCCAAATATCTGTTCTGTGTTGCAGTAACTTTGTACAGCTTGGTCATTGTACTCCCATCATGTCTGAAATAGCTGGTTGAGGAAGGCACTGTTTTCAAGAGAAAAAGTCTTAAGTAAGTTCTTTTCTTCTTCTTTTCTTTTTTCAGAGCTCTGAGGGAGATTCCCAGGCTTTGACAGAAGTGGATCTATTCATCTCCACACAGAGGATTAAAGTTCTGAACGCAGATACACAGGTAACAGGCCTCAGTCTCAGTCTCAGTCAGTTTTATTGCACATAGCCAAAGGCTGCCGCAATGTACACAGAATTATTTGACAATTAAAAGAAAATATACTGAATCGATAAAAAAAGACTTAAAACATTTATATTATTAAAACATTACGTACTCTAAACAAAGCTATAAAAATACCCCAATGTACAAATAAAAACATTAAACAATAAAATTCATTAGCTAAAATCATCACATGGTCACTAATGTTAAAAACAATATCAATTAATACAGTGTGCAATTTATACTCAGAGTGTGGTGACAAAGATAGAGCATAGCCTGAGGTAGATAGATAGGATCAAATAAATTCATCACCTTTACAGTTAATGGCTACCTTGGCTATATAATTTGCTCTAATTTTCCTAGCAGCAGTTGCAAAAAGTGCTACCCGCCAGGTCACATACTTATCTGTGTCTGCAAGGAGATATAACATCATGTCAAGGGGTTCTGGTCAGGGGACCCTGTCATTATAGGTACCAAAAATATTTTCCTTGCATCATTATATAACGGACAGTGCAAGATATAATGCATAAGGTCCTCTACTTCAGAACATCCCCTAATGCAAACACGTTCATTTTTTGGTATGCCTCTGTGTCTCCTATCTCTATAAGCAGAGCTTATTGTATTTAGTTGTAGCTCTGTAAAAGCTTTTCGAAGCTGTGCAAAAGTCAATTCATTAAAATAAGATATGTGTTCATTGACCTCTCTAAGTTTAAAATACAATGGGGCGCATGTAGATGTGCACATAGAGTTTAGATCGTTTTTAGTTGCCACTGCCCTTATGGTTCGTTTAAAAATATTTTTCTGTGAATATAAGGGGAGTTCTTTAATCTCAGTCACTGAGAGGTCATATTTGCCCATCAGTTGGGCAGCATGATGTACCCAGTTTTTAAGGGGTAATCCATTTGAGAGCTCAATCAGGCATTTTTTTGGTAGCCTAGTGTTGTCCATCTGTTGAACTCTAAACCAGTAACAGATAATTCTTTTATCTATTTGGCTCTCTATGCTCAACATGCGAGTTTCCAACCTGACCATGGCAGATTGCACGTCTTTGGGTAAACCTAAAAGAACTCTTAAAAAATAATTCTGTGGGGGTTCCAGACCGGAGACCTTTGAGGTACCCCAAACCTCTGCACCATATAAAATCTGGGCCATTGTTTTTGCTTTATACACAGATAGAGCTGGGTTGACCAGATTTCCACCTCTACAGGCAGAGAATTTCAGAATGGCTTTTGCTGATTTAAAGGCTTGCAATTTAATATTGGATAGCTGTGTATTCCAAGATGCCGTTTCTGAATAAATCAATCCCAGATATTTAAACGTATTTACTTGGTTTATGATGTGTTCATCCAGGTGCCAAACATGCTTTTTAGAACGCTTCCCAAATACAATGATCTGTGTCTTGTCTTATAGTTTATAGATAAAGCATTCCTCGTGCAATATGAACTTAATTTTGCAAGCAGCCGTCTCAGGCCCACCTGGGTTCTAGATACAAGTGCTAGGTCATCAGCATACATTAAAACTGAGAGTTTTTGGTCAAGAATTGTGACAGGGGCAAACTGTAGGCCCTCCAGTTCTTTAACCATGTCATTAATATAAAAATTGAACAGGAAAGGTGCCAAAATGCATCCCTGTTTGACTCCAGTGGTGGTCTTAATTCTAGTGGTGAGATGGCCAGCCAGATCCACCTTTACTTGTATTGATGTGTCAGTATATAATGTTTTGATGAGAAATAATAGACGGAGATCTATATTTGTCTTTTCCAGTTTTTGCCACAATGCGTGTCTTGGGACCGTATCAAAAGCTGACTTTAGATCGATAAAAGCAACATATAATTTTTGCTTCAAATTATGGATGTATTTACATAGCAGAAAGTTCAGCACAAAGCACTGGTCCAATGTGGATTTCCCTCTTTGGAAACCTGCCTGGACTTCAGATATCACCTTATTTGTACCTGCCCATTCTTCTAGTCTCCCAAGAAGGTGCCTGGCATATAGTTTGGAGGCTACATCTAACAAACTAATGGGTCTATAATTGGCAGGGTTTTTCTTATCACCCTTTTTATATATTGGGGCAATTATACTCAACTTCCACCCTTCAGGTATGCGACCTGAGCTGTTAATGTATGAAAACAATTTTGCAAAAATGGGAGACCAGAAAGCAGGTCTTATCTTATAGATCTCCATTGGGATCATGTCTTCTCCTGGAGCTTTATTAGCTAGTTGGCTTGCGATTAGCTCTTAATCTGATTGGGCCATTCTGGCAGTTCTGATAACTGAGTATAGTAAACTTGTGGGGGTGGGTCAGGACAGGGGCCATATATTCCTGTAAAATATGTCACCCAATCCTTTCCTTGGACAGATGCTTCTAACGAGTAGCCCAGCCCATTTGTGCCTTGGGCAACCAGATGCCAAAATTTCCGTGAGTCCTTTTGAAATGCTACATCTCCCAATTCTTTCCACTGTTGTTCATAATATATTTGTTTCATGCTTTTAAGTAATAATTTATAGTTGTTTCGTAACTGGGCTACCTCAGCTTGTAGAGCAAGATTGTGCTTATCCTGTTTTAACTTCAATTTTCTAAGTACCCTAGCTAGGCATTTTTGCTATTCTGACATTCCTTATCAAACCAAGTCTGTCTCTTAAACTTTTTGTTTTTTATCACACTAGTTGTGGTCATCAGTGGGCGCATTTGGTTGATTATGTTCTCATAAAGTCCAATTATGTTTCCTGTTTCTAACAACATTTCCCCCTTTAATAAAGCAAATTCATGGGAATCCAGGATCTGAATCATTTTTTCTTGGACCTGTGCATTCCATTTTAACCTTCTGTTTCCAAGTATCAGATATTCTGTTTCATCCAATAATTTAGGAAAGGCAGGAGAAAAGAATGATGTCAAAGATAACTCAAGTGGAAAGTGGTCACTTTCAGCTCTGGGAATTATCCTGAAGGTATCTCGGTTAACTGGCACATTATTAGATGTTAGGATATAATCTATGGTGCTAGTAAATCCTCTGGGAGAGATAAAAGTAAAATAACCCTCTTAATCCCCTTGACCGTGCCCATTGCATAACAAAAGGTTATGCTTTATTATAAGTTCACAAAGATATTTCCCAGCACGGTTAGAGATGGTATCCATTGCTGCCCTCTGACAGATTTCAGGTTCGTCCTCCAAGTTTAGACCAGATAGTATTGTATTTTGTGGGGAAACAAGGCCGATCCGGGCATTGAAGTCACCTCCCAAGACAAGCCGAGGGTTAGATGACAGAGAGTCTATACTTTCGAGTAGTTGATCAAGTTTATCCCAATATGATCTCAGTTCCCCACAAGACTTTACTGGAGGTATGTACACACAGATGCAATAAGTATTTCTCAGGAGACTATCAGAAAGGGACAACACTAAAAAACACTGTTGAATTGATACATTAAGAGAGGTTGACACCAGCACCGCCAGCCCCCCACTAGGCCTTCCATACTTTACAGTTTTAAGAGCTGGTTGAGTGTAACTTGTAAAACCCTGTAATTCAACCACAGTGCCCTCTTTTGCCCAGGTTTCTTGAAGAAAGATGATATCATGTGTTTGTAGATAAGAACAGAAATCACTGTCTTGGATCTTGTTCAGCCTTCTGGTGCCCTTCAGATGTTCTGGACTACAACTCCTATCAGCCCCAGCCAGCACCAAAGGGATATGGACGTAATCTAGCTCTACCAGTGTTTCTCCAATTGGGCCCTCAGCTGTTGTTGGACTACAGCTCCCATCATCCCTGACCATTGGCCCTTCTAGCTAAGGATGATGGGAGTTGTAGTCCAGCAACAGCTGGGGACCCAAGTTTGAGAAACACTGCTAGCCTGTGCCAGAGCTTCAAATGACAGTCCTCCTTTAAGATTATGTAAGCCTACCATGACTCCTGTGAGACCTTGTGCCTGGAATAATTTAGCACTCATTTCTGTGTTATCTGGTTCAAGGGGGGGACCCAAACCACCACCCATTTGCAACCCCCTTAACCCTAAAAATAGTGAGAGTAAAGTGACAAAATTTGGAATGATAAAACATCATAGTTCTTTCCTGCTGTTTCCATGGGGGAATTAAGGGGGCGGGGAGGAGCAGGCATGTGTGGAAAGGGGGGAGTAGCAGTGTTGCCCAATGCCATTTGTTGTTGTGTCTTGCCACGCCCACTGGTGTGAATGAAATTGAGTGTGACATATAGGGATAAAAAAGCCACCGTTCTATCATGCAACAGGTACTGCAGTGAGGTAGGAACACTAGAAAATGGGGCAGAAGCACTAGTGTGATAATCAGGAAAAGCAACACAACATCCCCCTATTATTATTTTTATTATTCTTATTAGAAATACATATTGAAGGAAAGTTCTAGGGTTGATGAGCAGATGGACCCCTCTACTGCTAATATAACTTGGTTCCTTCCATTGTGTGTTGTGTCTCTTCCTTAGATGGTAAACCTGCAGGTTGGGATTAGCCATTTTTTATCTCTGTAGTCTGGTCTTTTTAAAAATAAGAGCACACACAGGTCTGCTAAGTTTTCCATTCAGGCCAGCTGCCCACGCTGTCCTTTCACATTCTCAATACTTTCTGCAGGACGATTGCTCAGACCCTCATTAAAATCCCCCACCGTCATTGCCTCAGGCCCGCTGTTAAAGCTTAATAAAATGACAAATGGTGATGGGACCTGCTAGCCGCTGCAACAAATGCATTCCATAGTTGCATTTCGCTGCTGCACATAAATAATAATGAGTCAGTTCAAGGGGTGTGTGTGTGTGTGTGTGTGTGTGTGTGTGTGTGTACAGTGGGAAGGAATGGGAGCTGTTTCCTTAGTGTGTGAGCATCAAAAGCCAGAAGCAAGATTTAACAGTCAACAAATTAATTTGTTCCTCAATGGGATGGGTCAGGCTTGCTCTCTAAATAGACATTCCTTGGCTTGGCTCTTGAGCTCTCATTGTGCAGGGACCTCAAAGCCAAACTGGCCAAGGAGTCTCTGTCTGTCCTCACTGCTGACAGTCTGGGGGTTAATGTCATAGCCAAGGGAGTTTGGTTGACACAAGTGGTGTCCAGTTACATAAATGTGGTCGGTTGACAGTGAATCCCTAGCAAATAGGCCTTTTGAGAAGGGGGCTGGGACAGAGCACTGCCATTGCCTGCAGCATGGTCCTACCACCAAAATAATGGATTTCAAACTGAAACAGGAAATGAGGTATATGTGTTAAATCTGTCTCACCCTCTCTGTGCTTGGAAGCTGAAAGCAGTCCCTTTTCACATTCTGTATACCAGGGGTGAGGAACATTTTCCAGACTGACAACCATCTTGGGCCATCTTTTGAGGGGCCACAGACCAGTAGTGGGTGGGGTCAGAGGGAAAGAATGGGTGGAGCAATGGTGTGACTCTTACCCCCACCCCCTTACACATCTCTTCATCCAGACAAGCAAGAAGTATTATCACGGTTGAAGGACACATTCCAGCCAAGCAAAGAGCCCTTCCGGATGGTGAGAAGCAGGGCCAAGGAGGAGTATAGCACACACACTCCTTGCAGAGGAGAGCTCATGGCCTAGAGGGGAACCAGCCAACTTTCACGTAGGGCCCGCTGGGAGAGCCACGTAGTCTGTAATCCTGCACTCATTCAGGAGGCCAGGAAGGAGCCACCAAGCTGATGCTCAAAGCAGGGATGGGGGGGGGGAGAGATGACAGGGAATGGGAGCCACAGGTCTCTTATCATAGGCTGCCATCTCAAATACACTAAAGGTGGGTGAAGCCAAAGGCAGGGTCTTCAGCTTGCAGTGGCTGCTTAAATTAACACCACTTTTGCCAAGCTAGTGCCTTCCAGCTATTTTTAAAGCTTCTTTAATGTGTGATCTTGAGATTTCAGACAAGCTTCGGTTTTGGGGTGTCCCTACGGCCCCCAGTTTGAGTCTTAATTACTCAGTTTGTGGGGCAGCACAAAACATGGTGTTTGCATCACAAAACTTTGGCACCTGTTTGGTGTCAATCGGACAGTTTTGGATTTTTTGGCATTAACTTGTGACCTCAATTTGCTTTGTCAATTACTCGGTTTGGAGGGTGGCACAAAACACAGGTTTCGCAACACAAAATGGCACAAACTAGCACAAAACTTTGGCATCAGTTGACAGGGGGATCCAGAATTTCGGGGTCACACATTAATGAAGCTTTGATTACAACTTCCATCAGTCAAATGCATTTGCAGATTAGTTTTTGTGCCTGCCTTTTTCTTCCACTCACAGCTCCTTTGATCCAACTCATGACCTTTGTCCCAGCAGATTGATTATTTGTTTGATCAGTGTCGACCATGAGGAGGAGCAGGAATGGAGGCAGATGTGCATTCAATTTGCTGTCCTCTGAACGCTCGTCCCTGAATTCTATTCTCTTGTTTTAAAAATACAGTAGCAGACTTTCATTTCTTGCCTAGGGGAAATTCCAGCACCTGCATCTTCTAACATTCAGCTTCCTCTCCCCTGCTTTCTAAATTGTACATTTTCAGTAATGTCTATTATTTCCCTTAATTGATCTCACGAATGCCTCTCATTCCTTAAGTGCGCGTGAATTTTAGTTGTGTTGATTTGAGCCATATAGCCAGTCTATTTGTTTTATTTGTCAGAGACCTGTTGAACCCATTTCATTTTGAAATGCTTCATTTTGAAATGTAAGAGGTGCTTTGCAGAATATAATACTTTTCATATGAGTACTGCATTATATGTGGCTTAACAGCCAAGGTTTTTAAAGCACCAAATTTAATTAAAAGCACAAACTAAATGGCTTTAAATTGAGCTGCATCCAGGGTCTCTAAATGCCCATTTAATTAACTGAAATGTCAGATTTGTGTGCTCGCATGTGTGTGTGTGTGTGTGTGTGTGTGTGTGTGTGTGTGTGTGTGTCCCACACTTTTGGCTTTTTATTTGAAATGACAGTTTGAGTTGCCTACATCATTTATCAAAGAATAAGAAATCAATGATTCCTTCTATATATTGGTAATGGTAAGATTTTTCTGAAGACTAGCACACTCTAAAATGACCTATAATGATTGGCAAAAGATTAATCAAATTTGCTTTTCAGTGCAAGTTCAATAGGAGCTGATTTGTACATCACACAGGAAGAGGCGGGAGAATTCTGGATATTTCTACTGCAGATTATTGGTGCAGGATTGCAGTGAATGGATGAACTGAAGCATGGAGACCATAAGAACTTCGGAGGAGCTCTGCTGGCTCAGGCCAAAGCCTGTCTAGTTCAGTGACCTGTTTCCCCTTCAGATGCCCCTGAGAGCCCACAAGCAGGACATGAGGAAGATGGGGAGCTTGCCAGTCTAGGAGCAGAACAGAGCCTGGACTGGACTGGACCAAAGAGTTCAGGGATGAGGAACCTGTGACCCTCCAGATGTTGCTGGGCTCCAGCTTCCACCAGCCCTGGTTCAGTTCTGGGCAGCAGAAGTGGACTGGCACATCCGTTTCAAGGCAGTGGGGCACTGTTCTTCTAATGTTTTCTCTCTTCTTTTTTATAAAATATGAAGGAACATGCATCATTTTAAAATAGTTGGGGGCCCATGTTGATAGTTTTGGCTTATCGGTTGCTCCTAGGAAACCATGATGGACCATGCACTGCGCACCATCTCCTACATTGCCGATATAGGTAACATCGTCGTTTTGATGGCCAGGCGCCGGATGCCCCGATCGGCTTCGCAGGACTGTATTGAGACGACCCCCGGCGCACAGGAAGGAAAGAAGCAGTACAAGATGATCTGCCACGTCTTCGAATCAGAGGATGTAAGTGAACGGCATTTGGAAAAATGCATTATTTAGAGGTTGTGCATGACTGAAGCTTTTGCTTGGTTAAGCCTTTCAGAGATGTTCAGGGCCAATGTGTTTGCTGCCTTTCCATTCCCAAGAAGTTTCCTCTTTATTCCGCTTGGAATTCCCCGCTCAGAATGCACATCCATGCGTTATTGCCCTTCTCCTGGAGTGCTTGAACGTTTAATAATTTACCTTACTTTTAAAAGGTCTTTTAAAGCAGACATGACCTAAAATGACAGCATAACATGGACTCATAGCTCAGTGTTATCTACTTTGACTGGCAGCTGCTCTTCAGGGTCTTGAGCAGAGAAAGATCTTCCCCACCACCTGCAACTTTTATTTGGAGATGACATGGAGCGAAGTTACTCTCTCCTACATGCAAAGCTATAATACCTGAACCATGGTCCTTCTCCCGCCTTGGGATGGTGAGCCGGGGGCCATCCAGATGTTCCTGGACTCCAGCTCCCATCATCTCTGATCATGAGCCATGATGACTGGGGCTGATGGGAACTGGAGTCGAGCTACATCTGGAGGGCCACAGGTCCCCACCCTTAAGGGACATCCCTTTCTTGCTGTCATTGTGTTGCAGACCATGGGTAGACCTTTGCAGCAGGAGAACTGTAGGGCTGGCAAATCATTGCAGAGCAGTCAGAGCATAAATATAGGTCATCTGACACAACTGCCATGATTTAATTACATTACTCCTTAGTGAGCAATTGAATAGAATCTAGCTTACATACCTTTCCTTACAACCCTAGTGTAACGACTGGCAGTGGAATATGTATTTGACATGTGCTTGACTCTAGTTTAGTGTGCGCTAGATCATAGGCTTCCATGCTGTGGTCTGTGGATCATCAGTGGTCATGGAATACTAGAATTGTCCAACCCCCTGCAGTGCTTCTTCCAGGTGGCCCACAGTGGTGACTCTGCAGAGTGGCATAGTTACATGTGTATGATGAATGATGGGCACAGAGGCTGTTTCATTGTCCTTAGAACCTGGTGGTCCTCCCAGAAGGAGTACAGCACAGCCAAGAAATAAAGCCAAGGCTGGCAGCAAGATGGGGTATATAATTTTAAATATTTTAAATAAAATACTTCAATGTCTAGCAATTGTACATCAAAATTGCTGAACAACAGGCAGAAAAATTATTCCACTTTTTATTTTTTTGCAGGCTCAGCTGATTGCCCAGTCAATTGGCCAGGCCTTCAGTGTGGCATACCAGGAGTTCCTCAGAGCTAATGGCATCAACCCTGAGGATTTGAGTCAGAAGGAATACAGTGACATCATCAACACCCAGGAGATGTACAACGATGATCTGATCCATTTTTCCAACTCGGAAAACTGCAAGGAGGTTAATTTGCCCTGTTCTTAAAGCAAAATCATATGTTTTGTTGCTCCTTCTTCACTGTAGGATTAGGAATGTACATGCTGGGAACCCATGTGGAGTTTTAAGAACTCATTTGCAAACATATATTTTCATCGTATGCAAACAGTAACATAAAATTAAATTCACTGAGCTGGGTTTTGAATTTTGCTGTTGTTATTGAGTTTGGACTTTTTTCAAGCAGCCCCTTTACCCCTTCAGCCACCCCCAGCTTTCCCACACCTCCCACTATTCACTTGTAAGAACATAATATGCCCCTGCTTGATCAGGCCAATGGCCCCTCTAGTCCTGCATCCTGTACTCACAGTGGCCAACCAGATGCCTCCATGATTTTGTCCAATCCTCTTTGAAAGCCAACCAAGTTGGTGTCTATCACTGCCTCCTGTGGGAGCAAGTTCCATAGTTTAACTACACACAGTGTGAAGAAGTGCTTTCTTTTGTGTGTCCTGAATCTTCCAACATCCCATGATGAACACACACCTGGATGTGCATGGATAACAAACAACCTCATGGAGAAGGAAGGGGTGATGAATGAAGGGAAATAAATGAGCACCAAACTGTTTATGGAGTCAATTTATGTTGTTGTTGTTTAGTCGTTTAGTCGTGTCCGACTCTTCATGACCCCCTGGACCAGAGCACGCCAGGCACTCCTGTCCTCCCCCGCCCCCCACAGTTTGGTCAAACTCATGCTGGTAGCTTCGAGAAACACTATCCAGCCATCTCGTCCTCTGTCATCCCCTTCTCCTTGTGCCCTCCATCTTTCCCAACATCAGGGTCTTTTCCAGGGAGTCTTCTCTTCTCATGAGGTGGCCAAAGTATTGGAGCCTCAGCTTCACAATCTGTCCTTCCAGTGAGCACTCAGGGCTGATTTCCTTAAGAATGGATAGGTCTGATCTTCTTGCAGTCCATGGGACTCTCAAGAGTCTCCTCCAGCACCATAATTCAAAAGCATCAATTCTTTGGCGATCAGCCTTCTTTATGGTCCAGCTCTCACTTCCATACATCACTACTGGGAAAACCAGAGCTTTAACTATATGGACCTTTGTTGGCAAGGTGATGTCTCTGTTTTTTAAGATGCTGTCTAGGTTTGTCATTGCTTTTCTCCCAAGAAGCAGGCGTCTTTTAATTTCGTGGCTGCTGTCACCATCTGCAGTGATCATGGAGCCCAAGAAAGTAAAATCTCTCACTGCCTCCATTTCTTCCCCTTCTATTTGCCAGGAGGTGATGGGACCAGTGGCCATGATCTTCGTTTTTTTGATGTTGAGCTTCAAACCATATTTTGCGCTCTCCTCTTTCACTCTCATTAAAAGGTTCTTTAATTCCTCCTCACTTTCTGCCAACAATGTTGTGTCATCTGCATATCTGAGGTTGTTGATATTTCTTCTGGCAATCTTAATTCCGGCTAGGGATTCATCCAGCCCAGCCTTTTGCATGATGAATTCTGCATATAAGTTAAATAAGCAGGGAGACAATATACAGCCTTGTCGTACTCCTTTCCCGATTTTGAACCAATCAGTTGTTCCATATCCAGTTCTAACTGTAGCTTCTTGTCCTACATAGTCAATTTATATACTGCTTAATTACAGGTGACCTAAAGCTAGATGTGATGTTTGTCATATAGTTTGCCCTTTGATAGTAGTTGTTTGTTTACCAATAGTCAATGTGGGGGGAGGAGCCAGATCAGGGCCAGGACAGAGGGGATGGGAGCTTAACCCTTCACCCTTATCATTGTCCAGCTTGCAATTGCCACCACCCTGCAGCTTCTTAAAAAATATGTTTAGTATTTTCCAAAATAGCAAATATAAAACTGAACATTGCAAGGCAAAATAAAGTCCAATCATGCACCACAAAAATACATTTCCCCCCATTCAGTGTCAGGTGGTGGGACTTCTTCATGAAGCTGAAGAAAAGGCATTTGATATTGTTGTGTGTCCACAACCCTGAGCAGTGAGAGACTCCAGGGGTTCCAGTGCTTACCTAGGATTTTGTTTCCTTAAAATGAAGGTCAGCTGGGATGGTGGTGTCTTTAGGATATATAGTTTTATTTACACATATATGCAACCTGAGCCATAAGATGGAGGGGCTCCAACAGATCTTGTCTCCCTGTTAGGTGCCTGGGGAGGGGACAAAGTAATAGCTGTGGATTCAGCACAGATGATTATTATTATTATTATTATTATTATTATTATTATTATTATTTATTTCTACCCCACCCATCTGGCTGGGTTTCCCGAGACAAGAGAATCAAGCATCTCTCTGGCTTTCAGCTCAGCCAAAGTCCCTCTCACACAGTTGTAACTAGCTCTCTCATGTTTTGGTAAATAATTTTTTATTAATTTTCAATTACTAAAATCCAATATAAACCACATTTTATCAATTTCAAATTACAATTCAAATTCAAATACATATCAACTATAAAGCCAATTATACATTTTGTGTGGCCTCCCGCGTGCTAGATCAGTGTTTCCCAACCTTTTTGGGCAAAGGCACACTTGTTTCATGAAAAAAATCTCGAGGCACACCACCATTAGAAAATGTTAAAAAATTTAACTCTGTGCCTATATTGACTACCATATTTTTCGCCCCATAGGACGCACCGCCCCATAAGACGCACCTAATTTTTTGGGGGGAGAATAAAGAAAAAAAATTTTTCCCCTCCCCAGGCACGGGGCAGGCGCGGGGGAAACCCAAGCTTCCCCCGACCCCAGCCCCCAGAACAGCCTGATATCCGCAAGCCTAGGGAGCCACACTGGTCTCCCCAGGCTTGCGGAGAGGTGCGTGAAGCCCGGGGGCGCTCTTCAGCGCGCACCAGGCTTCGGGATGCAGGCAGCTCTGCACTACCCTCCAGAGCCCCGTGCGGCTTCGCGCTGGGATCCGTGGGGTGGCGCGGAGCTGCAAGAAGCCCTGGAGCGCAGGCAGCTTCGCACCACCCTCCGCAGCCCCGCGCGGCTTCGCGCCGGGATGGGGGGGGTGGCGCGGAGCTGCAAGAAGCCCTGGAGCGCAGGCAGCTCCGTGCCACCCTCCGCAGCCCCGCGCGGCTTCGCACCGGGATCCGGGGGTGGCGCGGAGCTGCAAGAAGCCCTGGAGCGCGGGCAGCTCCGCGCCACCCTCCGCAGCCTCCTACGGAGGGCGCCCCGTGCTCCGCGCTGCTGGCTGCCGCCCGCAAGCCGTGCACGCGGGGGGGAGTTCCCCTGGGCGCGCAAGGCTTGCGGACAGCTGCGCGAAGAACGGGGCGTCCTCCGAAGGACGCCCCGCGCTCCGCGCTGCAGGCTGCCGCCGCAAGCCTTGCGCGCCGGGGGGGGAGTTCCCCCAGGCGCCCAAGGCTTGCGGACAGCTGCGCGAAGCATGGGGCGTCCTCCAAAGGGCGCCCCGCGCTCCGCGCTGCAGGCTGCCGCCCGCAAGCCTTGCGCGCCGGGGGGGGAGTTCCCCCAGGCGCCCAAGGCTTGCGGACAGCTGCGCGAAGCACGGGGCGTCCTCCAAAGGGCGCCCCGCGCTCCGCGCTGCAGGCTGCCGCCCGCAAGCCTTGCGCGCCGGGGGGGGGAGTTCCCCCAGGCGCCCAAGGCTTGCGGACAGCTGCGCGAAGCACGGGGCGTCCTCCAAAGGGCGCCCCGCGCTCCGCGCTGCAGGCTGCCGCCCGCAAGCCTTGCGCGCCGGGGGGGGAGTTCCCCCAGGCGCCCAAGGCTTGCGGACAGCTGCGCGAAGCACGGGGCGTCCTCCAAAGGGCGCCCCGCGCTCCGCGCTGCAGGCTGCCGCCCGCAAGCCTTGCGCGCCGGGGGGGGAGTTCCCCCAGGTGCCCAAGGCTTGCGGACAGCTGCGCGAAGCACGGGGCGTCCTCCAAAGGGCGCCCCGCGCTCCGCGCTGCAGGCTGCCGCCCGCAAGCCTTGCGCGCCGGGGGGGGAGTTCCCCCAGGCGCCCAAGGCTTGCGGACAGGTGCGCGAAGCACGGGGCGTCCTCCAAAGGGCGCCCCGCGCTCCGCGCTGCAGGTTCCCGCCCCCCGCCCCGCTTCGGAGCACCGGGAGAAGCGATCTCCCCGCAGCCCCTTGCTTCAAAAGAGGTCCGGGGGCAGCGCGAAGCGCTTCCCGCTGTCCCCGGACCTCTTTTGAAGCAAGGGGCGGTGGGGAGAAGCGATCTCGGGCGCCGCGCCGCCCCGCCTCTCCCGCCTCCCTCCCACGGCACACCAGGCAAGGTCTCACGGCACACTGGTGTGCCGCGGAACACCGGTTGGGAAACACTGTGCTAGATTTCAAGTTGAGATGATTTTATTTCATCCTACTTCCAAAGTCTTAATTAATCCAATTACATTCAGTCTTGATCTTAATCCCTTATCAGCAGCTACAAAGTGTTTGACTTCCATTTGTATTGGCGGGGAGCTTGCAAGGACAATTGCCCTCAAATCATCCTTGTTTATCCTTTGCTAACGGTCTCTGCTATTGTGGGCGTGGCATCCATTAAGGCAGACCAGAACTGGAAGCCCACACTTGTAACTAGCTCAATCTTTGGCTGGGACTGATGGAAATAGATGCCATCTGGAAGATGCCAAATTGGGGAAGGCTAAACTAGTCTATTGCTTTTGGTGTCTCCCCTAATCCCCATGGCTTTGTTGAATAGCTCCTCTCCCTCTGCTCCACTTCACACTTGTAAATCTCAGTAAAGTATCAACACCTTGTATACATGAACACAGGAAACTGCCTTATATGAAATCCTGTCCACTGAATTGTGTCCACACTGTCTGGCAGCATCTCCTCGGGGTTTTAAAGGGGGGACACCCCCAGGACCTTCAGATGCCCTCTCATGAGCTTTCCCTTCATGTCTCCCCCGGCCAATGATCTTTTTCCTGAACAAAGCACATCTTTCTCATAGAATTCCAAGCCCATGCCCATCCTTATTGCTGTAGGATTATTTATTTATTTTTGCATCTTTTGCTAAGTGTTATATATTTAAAGTCAGTAATGGGCCTCCCGCTGTGGGGTAATCAGCACTGCGCGCAGAGTAGGCCTGTTGCCTGCTGTGGCTTTACATAGAGGATGCATTGCTCATGTCCTGTGTCTTGCATCTTTCAAAAAGACATAGTGAGGCTGACTGTATGTTTCCAAAATGGCTTTGCAAATTCTTATACTGCAGGTCCAGCTTCCTAAGTAAATATTCCTAAATATTCCCCATATTTGGCATGTTGTCCTTAAGGGACTTTTCCTGCTACTCATTCCAATGTCCACTGCTTTTTTTTGGGGGGGGGAGAAAGTGGGAGGGCTTTTGGATCCCATCAGAACATTGTACCTTTCCCCCCTAAGCTGGGCAAACACTTCCTTGCAGAATTCTGCAACCCTAGAATTCCCACAAACATTCTCCCTCCAATTTGTTTTATTTTGCAGTTGCAGATAGCCAAACACAAGGGCGAGATTCTGGGTGTGGTCATCGTGGAGTCTGGCTGGGGCTCCATTTTACCCACAGTGATCCTGGCCAACATGATGAATGGGGCCCCTGCTGCTCGTTCAGGGAAACTCAGCATCGGGGACCAGATTATGTCCATTAACGGGACCAGTCTCGTGGGGCTTCCCCTGGCAACATGTCAAGGAATCATAAAGGTACTGTATGTAATGTCTCACTCTGAATGTGACTGACCTGTATGAAGGACTCTATGACTTGAAAATAGAAACTCTGTATGTACTTTTGTTACCCAAGAAAAATCTTTTAATAAAAACATTTTAAAGGAAGGAAGGAAGGTACTGTTTGGGATGAGAGGGGAGGGGTCTGTCCTGTGGATTGTGGAATCCCACTTCCAAGAAACTCTACAATTACAGATTTTGACGTTGCCAACACTGTGGGTCTTACTGACAGCAAAGGGAGAAAGTGGAAGGATGAGATTGTCACCAGTTTATAAAATCCAAGGTAGTCGTCTCAAGAGCCACGAGGCCTCTCTGTCTTGCTGAAGTCAAGCGGGTCTCACTCTGGTTAGTGCCTGGCTTGGAGACTGCCTGGGAATCAGATGCCTGCCACACTGGGTTCCATGAGGGGAGAAGGGCAGGATAGAAATGTAAGGGGAATTTTTAAAATCATGATGATGAATGATGGTGATAAAAGCATGTCCTTAGTTGTTGCCTCGTCTGCCTATTTGGTAGGTTGTGGAGGAATTGAAGCATTGGGGAACGCTTGTAAGCCCAAGGGCCACATTCCCTTGAAGGCAGGCTTTGGGGGGCCATATGCCAGTGGTGGCCATCCAGAGGGGCATTCCATCCATTCCAGCTGTTCCACACCCCTACTTCTCCTTGCATTCAGGCAACCAAGACACCCACTGTTCAAGTTCAAGGATCCAAGTTCAAGTATACATTTGCACCAGGCAAAAGCATTTAAGGAGGGTGCAGAACAAGATTGTTTTTTTTGGGGGGTGGGGTGGCCTGAGGATAGTTCCAAAGGCCAGGGAGAGAGACCTGGAGTGCAGAGTCAATTCCTGGACCTACGCCTCCTGACCCCACTGCATTAGATCAATAAGATGAAACACACAGTTCCTTGCATCAAATCACTTTCCATGCAGGAGCCCTTTGGGTGCCCCCAAATGGGATAAGACAGAAACACCATTAGACTCAACCAACTATGAAGTGGCTGCCACTGGAAACTGCTTTCCTTTGTTTGTGATAAAGAACTTGCTAAGCTTGAGGACATTTTTCAGGGTCTTAAGAACCAGACGCAAGTGAAGTTGAACATTGTCAGCTGCCCTCCAGTCACCACTGTCCTTATAAAGCGACCGGACTTGAAATACCAGTTGGGCTTCAGTGTACAGAATGGAATTGTAAGTTCACTTTTCCTTGTAGTGTTGGTATGGTGGTTGGATTTGAAAACTAATGTCTTTGCTCAAAAAGAGTCGGATGGATAAGGACAATGGTTCTTATTTGCTGTTTTAAAAAATTATTACTGAGATTTTTCAAATAAACAAAAATTACATCATTACAAAACACATAAGAAATAACTTAACTATGAGCTTAGTTCTTGTGCTACTTGTGGATGTGCAGAAAAAAGAGAAAATCCAAATAATTATTTAGAAAATACTCAAAGAGCGATATGGAAATCCAAGAAAGATAATTAGTAGCAGATTTTAATCTACAGACCAAAACTGTTTAGGTATAATCCCTGCCCATAATGATGCTCTGGAGGAAGAACTGCCCCCTGCTGTCTCCAAACAAATTCAACAAACAGAGACCAAGTAACTGAGATTTAACTCCTCTAGGTATTCTGTTACTTTCTGTAGCTTTTTCTGCAACTGCTAACAGCCTTACCTTATTCCACCATCCCTTTAAGGTGAATTGGAAATGAAAATTTAAATTGCTGGGCTGCTTTGAGAATGCAATATTTAGCTGAGGAAAAAAGGCGAGTGAATTTTGCACATGGTGGAGAAAGTTGACAGATACATTTCTCCCACTGGCATAATGCACTCGCCCAGGGCGCTCCCGTGGAGCTGAGTGTCAAAAAGTTCAGGACAGACAAAAGTGCTTCTTCACACAGTGTATAGCTAAACTACAAAATCTACTCCTGTAGGATGTGATGATGACCATTAGCTTGGGTGGCTTAAAAAGGGTTAGAGAAATTTAGGAAGGATAAGGTTATCAGGGGCCACTAGTCATGATGGCTGTATATTACCTATGGAGTCATCATACCTCTGAATAGCAGTTGCTTGGGGCAACAGTCAAGAGTGAGGACTGTTGCTTTAATGCCATCCTTGTGGGCTTCTCAAAAGAGACACCTGGCTGGCTTCTGTGGAGCTGGGAGAGCTCAGTTGGTACAGCCTGAGGCCCTTAAGCTCAGGCTCATGGGTTCACGTCCCACGTTGGGCTAAAGATCCCTGCATTGCAGGGGCTGGACTAGATCACTCATGTGGTCCCTTCCTACTCTACAGTTCTATGATTCTAGAACTAGATGGGTCTTGGTTTGATCAAGCAGACAGACCCTTCTTTGGTTATTACGATGACTTCTGCAAATAGCTGATTACTAGCCATGATATAGCCAAGTTCAGTCTCCTTGTTGAGCAGCAGTGAGTGAGGACTCTTGCTTCACAGCCTGCCTTGAGGTCACCCAGCAGACAGAGCTGGCCGCTGTGGGAACAAGAGGCCCTTTCCACCTTAGCCAGCAGTCCTGCTTGTAGATTCTTTAGAGGAGCCCTGATCTCAAAGAAGTTCATGCCAGCTGGTATATTTGGAAGTCACCTAGTTGCAGCAGCAGGTTGCTTTCTGAATAGGTTTCCCATAAGGCAGTACCACTTTAACTGGGGTTTGGTACCATCTAGTGGTTGTTAGGCATATTCACAAGTGGCCTCAATGCCACCCTGTTCAGTGAATGTCTAATGCAGGGCATAGCGAGCACTTTTGAAGGCAGAACAGAAGGATCCACTTTGCCCTGAGGAGTAGGAGGATTTCTAAAGGGTGAACCTGGAGTATTAGAACGTCATCTGACTGAAATTCTTTTCATATAACTATTTCAACGCATTATATGTAGGGCTACTTCTGAAAACAGTTCAGAAACTTCAGGTGGTTCAGAAGTCAGTGACCAGGCTGCTCACTGGGACAAGACGGTTTGAGTGTATTACACCGATCCTGGTCCAACTGCACTGGCTACCAATTAGTTTCCAGGCCCAATTCAAAGTGCTGGTTTTGACCTATAAAGCCCTAAATGGCTCAGGACCACAATACCTCGAGGACTGCCTTTCCCCATAGGAACTGAGCCAGACCCTTCAATCCTCACCTGAGGCCTTTCTTTGTGTGCCTCCTCCATGAGAGGTCCAGAGGGTGGTAACATGAGAATGGGCCTTTTCTGCAGTGGCTCCCTGTTTGAGGGATGCTCTCTCCAGGGAGGATCGCCAGGTGCCTTGTATCACATATCTTTAGGCACCAGGCAAAAGCTTTCCTCTATAACCAGGCCTTTGGCCTTTAACCATCTTTGGCCTTTTAGAAGTGAGCGAGATGTTATTAATGTATTTCTTTTTCCTCTTGGCTTTAATAAATCTATGTGAGGGGGTTTCTCTGTCCGTTTGTAAGTTGCTTTGGTTGAACAAATTTTAGCAACAACAACAGCAGCAGCAGCAATATGAAAAGGAATGCCTGTGTTGCAATTCTCAGTATATACTGAGATTTGTGATATTTCTGTCTTTTGCATTGTGTGATCTCATTCCATACTTTCTACCTTCCTGGGTTTTGTTTTTCACATCTTGCATTTTGCTTCTGATGTTGTTGTCAAACATTACTGCTGCCTCAATTTTACCTTGGCAAGGACTTTGTTTTGAATAGAGTCTAATGTGACGATGGGGATCCCATGGCCCTCCAGTGTGGCTGGATTGCACTCCCCCTTCTCTGACCATTGGCCCTGCTGGCTGGATTCCAATAACAACAACGTTAACAGGGCCACAAGTTTCCTATCTCTGATCTGATATATTCAAATAATGATAATTGCATGTATGCATGTTTAATTTCAAATGGGGAGCCAACCTGTGAGCATCTATTTACTGAAGGTAAAGGTGTGAATTTACCTAGCTGGATTTTTATGTTTTAATTCTGTGACTCAGACTCCTGCCATATAGGCTGTGCCCTTGGATCTGCTCTGGGCTGCATCCCTGTGCAAGAGGGGCCAGCCCTCAGACCCTCACCCAATATAAGGCCTTAGCCCTCACTTTTGGCAAGTTTGCATAAAGCTGACATGGAGCTGCCTTCCCCAAGCTGAAGTCCTCCAGATGCACCACAGCTCCAATCAGACCCAGCCAACCCAGCCTTAGAGCAATGGAAACCTTTCTCAACCTTGGCTCCCCAGATGGACTACAACTCCTCTTATCCCTGACTGCTGGCTCTTCTCACTAGGGATAATAGGCTGAGAAAGGCTGATCTAGACAGTTAAGAACCCACGAGGTTCTTAAGAAAAAGGGAAGATTGGGTCAGTGCTGTAGTGGGCATTGCCAGAACCTGGGGCAAGGCAAGCATTGCAGCTCCTAACCCTCTTTTGAACATTGTGCAGGAGGCAACAGATATATTTCACTGCACCCCTGCGGCGGCGGCAGCTGCTCCTCACAGAGGTTGCTTGCTGGTTTCTGTGTTCCCTCTCTCATCACAGTGAGCTCCCACAGCTTCTCTGTCTTGCCATTGCAGGGTGTGTGTCTTGTCCAGGACACATGCCGGGAGAGAGGCCCCAGGGAAGGACCAGCGTAGGCCAGGAAGAGTCTGGGCTCCAGCCAGCAGGAGTTCTGCCCAGGGGCGGGCATCCCTTCACCGGCCTCTGCAGCTCTGAAGGCCTGGCTAGCCTCCCCCTGGCTCCGGAAGGCGGCAGCCGGGAGCTCAGCCATGCAGCCGCTGCAAGAGAGCCTGTCGTGGGGGCCTGGGTTGCGCCCCCTCAGAATTCTGCTCCTGGGGCCACAGCCCCCTCACCCTATGCCATTTGATTGGGCATATATTAGCATATGACATTCGTATGGAGCAAAAGTTACCTTTAGTGAAATGAAGCGTTGCTTTGATTGGAAGGCATTCAGACCAAGTATGAAGTAAGAAAGCTGATGCTTATGAAGGGATGGAGAAAAAGAGTTCTATAGCTCTAGGTAACTAACTAGTTGGAGAAATAATGAAGCCATGCATGCGCCTGTTCTCAAAAGATGCAGCCGAGGTGCCCTTGCACCATGAGGTCCAGAGAAGTGTGCAAACGGCAAGAACTTAAGAAGAGACAGCTGCTGGATCAGGCCCATCTAGTTCCGCATCCTGGATGCTGGATTCATTCCCATCTTAAACTGGACCTGATGAAACCCTCACCCCTGTGAACCTAATGCTGTCATTGTATACACATTTGACCCAGAGATGACAAGTTGTTTGGGATCTCTTTGGGAATTTCCAGCAGATAGCCCAGCAGCTGAGGGATTGAGACGGGGGGGGGGGGGAGAGGGGAGAGAGATCTCACCACAAGAGCTTGGGGCATTTCCTGCCAGCCAGCCAGCTGTGTTCATCTTAGGTCCGTGAAGCACAGTTGGACCCCCCTTCCTCAGGCTTGAATTGATGAGTTGGCTTCTTGTCATCTCCAGCTGCTGCTTTCGGTCTGTTACCACTAACTGACCTGAAAGTAATTCAGGACTGTTGATGCCCAGCCTAAAGAACAGGGAGCCGTTTCAAAAGTTTTCTGCATGTCACCCCCACCTATCAACTGTGTTGTGCTATGTTGCAAACCTTCCTTGCTAAATAAACTGAGGAGTCAGAAAGAGATTCCAGGCCCCAACTTGGAGGGAGAGATAGATACAGTATTTAGCCTGGACAGCAAACCTAGCCTCGGAAATTAATCCCTCACGGTGGTCTAGAATCTGATCCTCTGGTTCCCAAACTTTTTCAGGAAATCCACCTCCTTGGTTCCATAAACTGTGCTTCCCATCCTACCCTACAAAAAGGTGTTATTGAGAATAGCAGTCTGCATGAAGGGAGATACTAACACAATAAAATTCAAAGCAGTAACAATTAATTGCATATTTATTCAAACAATTCAACAAAAGGAAAAAAAGAGCATTGACAGGTATAAGGCTAGGAGACCATTTCCCCCCCAACCTGGGCCAAAACTGAAATAAAATGTTTAGAGCAGTAGTTCGCAAAGTGGGTGGGTGGGACAGTAGGATTCCCTAGTGGGTTGCTAAGAGGCAAGGAGGTGGCAGTTGGGGGGCACTGGAGGTGTAAATAACAATAAACTTTTGAAAATCTGGTAACACTGGATCACGTTCCATTTCCCACCTCCTTCCCAAAGCCCGGCTTAAGCCGGCCCCTCAAGGGGAAGAGGCTATTGATGGCCATTGGCCATGGTGACTATGCTCTGCCTCCGAACACCAGTAGCTGCAAGCCACTAGAGGGCTCACTATGTTTGGTTTCCCACCAGGATCTGGGTGGCCAGTGTGAGAGCAGGATGCTGGACTAGATGCACCATTGGCCTGATCCATCAGGGCTCGTCTTGTGCATTTACATCTAGGCCCAAGGGCAAAAGCTCATGACCTTCCTCCTAGTTCTGCAGGACACCTGGCACAACCTTAAAAAAAGAATGTGAATCTCTCTCCCTCTTTCTCTCTCCAGATCTGCAGTCTGATGCGAGGTGGGATAGCTGAGAGAGGTGGTGTCAGGGTTGGCCATCGCATCATTGAGATCAACGGTCAAAGTGTCGTTGCCACGGCTCATGAGAAGATTGTACAAGCTTTGTCAAACTCTGTGGGAGAGGTGAGGCTTTCAGAGCAGAATATTTCCCCCCATAATAAAGGACTGTGACAGATTTAGTTTCTCCTTGTTGGAGGAAACGGAAAGAAAAAGAATAATTTGTGTTCCAGGCTGAATCCAAGATGGTGGCCTTGCCTGTTTTTCATCTAGTTTTCCAGAAAGATTGTGTGTTTGGATTGTATGTGTGTGTGCTTTAAAAAAGAAAACTCAGATACATTATTCAATTTCAGTGTTAGGGGAGAAAATTAATCAAGTATTGGAAATCAGTAGATTCATGCATGAAATGCACAACGATCATTTGTCTTCATATGTTGTGGTAGTTTGATGAATTGGCATTCAGATAGTTGACTGAAGAGAGCAGGCTTGTAAAACAGGCATGAGATGTGTAAACATTTGTCAAGATCTAAAGAGAAATCGGAAACTGGGAATTTCAAGGTGGTGTGCTGGAAGGGAAGAATTTATTTAATCTGTTGTCCCTATCGCAAGGTCGGCGGTTCGAATCCCCACGGCGGGGTGAGCTCCCGTCGTTCGGTCCCAGCTCCTGCCCACCTAGCAGTTCGAAAGCACCCCTAAGTGCAAGTAAATAAATAGGTACCGCTTTATAGCGGGAAGGTAAACGGTGTTTCTGTGCGCTGCGCTGGTGCCGGCTCGCCAGCTGCAGCTTCGTCACGCTGGCCACGTGACCCGGAAGTGTCTTCGGACGGCGCCGGCTCACGGCTTCTAGAGCGAGATGAGCACGCAACCCTAGAGTCGGACACGACTGGCCCGCACGGGCAGGGGTACCTTTACCTTTACCTTACCCTATCCACACTAATTTGAGTTGCCTTGGAAGCAACATCCACCCCTTGTCCCATCTCTGTCTCGAACATCAAACGAATGCCCTTCTAAGTATAATGCCTGCATACCATCCTTATGGGAGGATTGTAGGGATCTGCAGAAAGAAAGTATGTCAGGGAGAGGGCAGAGCTAGCAAGATTTCTGTGTGCAGGGTGTGGTTTCATTTCTTTTTGCATGCCAACACATTCAGACATTTGAGCCCCAGATTGATACAAGGGAACCCCAGAGAGGCAGCATTCTTACGAGGGAGGGGTCCTTCTCTAGAATTCTTTTTCTCTTGAGATTGTTATTGTTTACCACATTTAAATAGCTGCCCTGGGTGACTTACAACATAATGTTGAAAACACAATGTACAATACTTAGTTTAAAAAAGCAATTCTAGGGTCACTAAGCTCTAGCCCTGAACTAGTTCCAAAACTAATGTATTTTACCCTGTCTGGACAAGCACTGAAAAGTTAGTCAGACGCTGCATGTGTACTACAGCCCTTACCTACAATTGGTATTGGAGCGTCTTTCTTTCAAGTCACCCCCAGATTGTAATTTCTGTGCTCATGATAGGTCTGTAGGAAGACTTGTTTTCCATGTGCAAGGAGATTGTGCTGCCAAGGTATTTTCAAATATCTGTGCTCACCACTCCCCCCCCAAGTGCATTCTGGGTTGGTATGACTGAGTTGGCATAGACAGGAGCCTCCCCAAATGTTTGAAATGCTCTCCAGTAGTCAGCGATAAGAACGGGACATATGTCTTTTCAGTTTTCCACGTCCAGTTTGAGGCACTATTGCAGCCAGTTTCTGGGAGTCACACGTGGGGAGGCTGATGTTGCACTCAGATCCTGCCTGTTTATTTAGCTAGCAAGATTTATCTGCACCTAATGAAAGTAATGATAATCTCTGAGCAGTCCACACCAAGTTTATGCACTTCCCAGGGCCTCTGGTGAACCACTGTGTGTACATGATACTGGGCCTTTGGCCTGATACTGCAGGACTTTTGTGCTTTTAAGAACTCCTTTTCTCTTTTTGACGTCTTCTAATCTCGAATCTTGTAATCTAATAATTTATTATTTATATGCCACCCATCTGACTGAGTTGCCCCAGCACAATACATCACACCCTAAAAACTTCCCAGAACAGGGCTGCCTTCAGATGTCTTTTAAAAATCACATAGCTGTTTATCTGTTTGACATCTGGTGGGAGAGTGTTCCACAGGATGGGAGTGACTACTGAAAAGGCCTTCTGCCTGGTTCCATGTAACCTCACCTCTCGCAATGAGGTAACCATCAGAAGGACCTCCAACCTCCGTGTCCAGTCTGGATGATGGGAATGGAGATCCTCCTCCAGGTATACTGGGCTGAAGCTGTTTAGGGAGGTTAGGAGGAGGACCCTGTGCTGTTTTGCAACCTGCTTTCGAAGTGCCACTGAGAAGACAGGCAGTGACACCTTCCTCCTATGCCCTCACTGCCCTTGACCTCACTTACCAACACACATAAAATCCTATTGGCAGTGGTGACCCATGTGATTTTGGTGATGACGTTACGGAAGCATGTAAACAAAATCACATGGTGCACTGCAGGGGGACCAACTATAGGCAAATGAAGGCAAGACCATGCCGGTGAAGAAGGATGGTGAGTTAGCCCCACCCACCCCTAATTTGTTTGGCTGTGTTGATGGTGCTGCTTTCAGACTGAATATTGAAATTATGAACTGTTTGGCACAGCCCTGATCCAGGCTGCTGTTGTTTGGATATGGTTTGATGCTTGCTTGTTTCTCAGCTGCCTCTCAGTGGGCATCTTGTCCTTGCCTTCCTTTGTCCATACCAGTGGTGTCCAATTCTGTTGGCCATGATGCAGCAAGTGATTTTGTTTACAGGCATCATTGATGTCATCAACACAATCACAAGCGTCACCAGCCTGATATTATGGCACCCTGGTTAAGTGAGGCTGAAGGCAGTGAGGGCAGAGGAAGAAGATACTGTCACATTCAACACAGATCTTAACCGCTGCCAATTCTCTTCTCGTCTCCTTGACAGATTCATATGAAGACAATGCCTGCAGCAATGTTCAGGCTGCTAACGGGACAGGAGACACCACTGTACATCTAACTCTCATGAAAAGAACTGAATGATCCCAGCCATTCTAGAACCTTCAAGAGGAATTTTTGTATTTTGTAGGAACAGAAAGGGTTTGAACCAATTCGTGGATATATTCTGGAACCTCAACAGATCCAGCTTCTTTGCCTTTTTCTTCTCCATTTCTTTCTCTTTTAAACAACATTTTGTTGCCAAAAGATGAATCTGTTACTTATGGACCAATAACCAACTGACACCACCTTTCCAATACATGGAAGTATTTTGCAACATCATCTACAAAGCCCTTTCCCTGTGGAAGCTGGCAGCATAGGGCGGCATCCACCACAACCGCCCCCTGTGCAAACCCCACTGGTGTGTTGTCTGGGATCCAGCTGCAGGCAGTGGGGCCTGCGCAATCCCTCTTGCTGGTGGATTCTGCTTGTGGCATTTATTTGAACACTGACTGCGGCATGCCCGTCCCAGGTATGCACCCCTGCTGCTTCTAAGCAATGTGGCAAAACTGCCTGTGTAATTGGAGGAGATAAGTGAGGGCAGGCCAGTTTCAAAATGACCAAGAATGTATGCACTTCTGGCTGGGGCTGGGGGTTGGGGGTGGAGTGTTTGATGCTAATCCAATGAAAAGCTACTGTTGTCCTTGGTATTCTTATTGACAAGTGTAACGTGTTAACAAGTTTTGATGAAACGTGACTTTAAGTGTGGAACAAGGGGTGGGGGCTGGTGGGGGTGATGGGGAGGAGGAGGTTTTTTTTTAAAAAAAACAAACAAAAACCCAGATGCAAAATAACAAAAGACTTGCCGCAATATAAAGCTGGATATTTATTTAGATCAAGTAAATTTATGGTTTGGAAACTGAAGTTTTTTAATGACTGAAATTGTTCTTATGGATTTGCATATGGGGTACATGGGGTTCCTAGTTTTTAATATCCCACAACCTTCCATCTATTCCTCTTTGGTTGAACTTGAGTTTACTACCAGAAAGCCATGTTTAAATAGTTTTAAGGTCAATCCTGTTTCCTTTTTCTTGTTTTTTTTCTGAGCCAACATGTGGTCTGAATGTAAATGATGGCTGCAATGGGGAAGTCATCGCCATCAACAGTATTAGAATTTGTGGAGATGATAAACCGAGTACTAGTAATGTCGTGTTCATTATGAGATAAATGTCAACTGATGTAACCTTTTTTGTCTTGATTTCTCTCTCTCTCCTTTTGGCCAAGGCCTTGAAGAAAACAATAACACACTGTGACTAAAGAAGCCTTACATGCAGTAACAGAAAAGCTTTAGGATTACTGTAGTTCAAGGAGTAACGCCGTAGATCTCTTGTTGCATGCAGGCGACCCTAGGAGAGAAATAATCTAGACTCGCTAATAAATTTGGAGTAATAAAGCACTGTGGCTTCTTTTGTTTGTTTTTGAAGTCTGCTTAGTGCAGTGATAGAAAGCCTTCAACCCACAGGCCAACCCCCCTCACCCGCTTGTTCACTTGGGGGTCTGGCCAACAGTTCCCACCAAGGGGGCTCTGCCTCTGTGTGGGAAAAGGTCCCCCACCCCTCGCTTAGCAGGTGCGGAGACACCAGGACCAGCTGGTGCGGCTGGTGGCACAGCTCCTGTCTCCTCCAAGGGGATTTGTGCAAGAGTGCCATGCTGTGTTCCAAGAGAGGCTGGGCAGAGCGCAGGCTTCAGCCACTGGGGCTTCATCTTGAAGTGACATTGCAGAAGGAATTTCCTGCTCACCATTCATCTTCCCCTCCAGAAATCAGCACTGCAGATTTTGAGGGAGTGCGAGTTAGCTGAATGCTTGGGCTTCCACTGGAGGTCACTGTAGTTTCATAATAGCAGAGCTGAAAAAGCATTTTCAGAGATGGCAACTTTTGACATCTTTCTGAGCTGATACTGCAAGGAAACCCTTGGGGCTGGTGCTGTAGCAAAAGAGGCAAGGAGCAAGAGAGGGGCCCAGGAAGGCGCTGCCGTCTGTTGAATGAGCTTCTGTTGCAGCAGGGAGGGTGCAAGTGTTCCAGCTGCATAAGCGCTGGATGAAGAAGTGCTCAAGTTCTCGCACAAACGTTCCTGCTTTCTGGAACCATTCCCAAGCCCCATAGGACAGCTTTGCAGTGAGCACTGGTTCTGGTTTGGTCCAAATAAAAGGGGCATGAGCTCAACCCCCCCCCCCCCCCCGTGAATAAGACACTTAGCTTTCCCCAGGGATCCAGCTTGTAACCTAGAAGAATAGGGCACTCCAGATGTTGCCAGACCATGGACTGTGGCCAACACAGTCACTAGTCAGGGATGACGGGCATTGGTCCAACAACAGCAGTTAGTAGGTTACAAGTGCCCCATCCCACTATCCTGGGTTCAATCTTAGAATTGTCAATATCAGTGGAGCAGAAATATCTTTAAAAAGGGGAAAACAGCACATCAATTAGCCCAAAAGGGGGGGGGACACATAGACAATAAACACATCAAACCCCCTCCCCCAGAAACCCAACAGAAAATCCACATATTGATTGCAGAAAATCAATTCTGGAAGATGCAGTGTCCAGAAATACATTTTTTCTTTTTTCTTTTTATTAAAACACTGTTCAGAATTAGTTAAAACACTTTTGAGGTACAGTGAATAAAATACAACTTCTAAGTTGTAAAGCAGGGTCATCGCAGCTTGGCAAAAGGGGGGGCGGGCGGTGCCCTCCAGCCCCAAGCATGTCCTTCAAAACTTGTAAAAGCAACTTCTTTGAATGAGAAAAAGTATGTGTCTGTGTTTGTTTGTTAAATAATAAACCAATGGTCTTTTGCAAAAGGAGCCCCTTCAATAGGCAGCCACAGGAACCGGGGCGCTGTGCCACTGAAAGTTAAGATCCAAAGGTGGACCATGAAAGGAAGACTCTTCAGGGGTGTCTGTTGGGTTTGCTTTGCCTTTTAATGCCCCCCCCCCCCGATGCTGGGCTCTCCCAGAGGCCTGCAGTGGAGCTGGAATATTCCTCTGTGGAGCAGCCACAGTACTTTGTCAAAGGATGGTTTCTCGACAGACTCCGATTAAGCTGTGTGGCCTCTCTAAGCTGGGGCCAACGTGGGCCCTGCGTAACAAGGCCACCGGAGAGCTCAGTGCCCCACAGCTCTGTAGGTGGAGGTCTTCCTGAAGCCGTTTTCTTGAGGTATCCACATTCTGTCGGGAGCTCATGATCACCTGCAGAGAAAGGCACAAGTTGAGAGCAAGGAGGAAAGCGAGATACAGAGCAGAGCCAGAGGTGGGCAGACTGCAGACTTCTGGGACGGAAGGTTACGTTACTTTTTCCTTTATTCATATTCTGCCTTTTGGACCCACAAAAACACTAAGAGACAGCAAGAAAAAGTACTTAAACAGAAGCTCCGCCTTTTAGGGGTCTGAGGTAAGGGGTGGGGCAAGGCAAGTGGAATAGCTTGCCCCTGGTGGTTCCAGCAGGCGCTTGTAGCAAAATTTGCTGCTGCTTTTTAAAAAGCTAGAACCTCGAGAGCCACTGCCTGGTGCAAAATGGGGGGGGGGGTATCTGGGTGGTGGTGGAGCCGGATGCAAAATCGTGGTTCAAGGAGTCAAGCCAGTTACCTGCTGGCACTTTGTGGGGTGCACCGTGGGATGACCTGCACCCCCAAATTACCTCTGAGTCACTAGAGATCACAGAATTGTGATCTTTATTCCCTAGCCACAAAATCGTACAAGTGTAAAAAAATAAAAAGTACACCGATCAAAACATAATGAAAACAGAGAACATAATCTGGTGCAACACCCAACATCTTAGGAAGGTAGGAACCTGGATGGTGATGAACTACAATTCCCATCAGCCCCAGCAAGTGTGGCCAATGGCCAGGGATGATGGAAGTTCTTTTCTCACCTTCATTTCAGTTCCCCACCTACTTTGTTTGCCTTGTGTTCTCTGAGATGGTGGCAAACCCTCCCCCCAATTTCTCCCTGTCAGTTTACTTCTTCCATGCCTTCCAGCCTGTTTTTCCTCATTCTGCCAGCCCTGCCTTTCTACATCCTACTCTCCTCTAGTGTGTGTTTCTCTCTGTGTGAATCTGCCAGCCCACTTGAAGATGCAGGTCCCACCCCCCCACCCCCCCGGGCTGAGTCCCTGCCTTCCTGCCTGCATGAAGCTTCTTGTTGAGTTTGTGACTGCTTGGCTGATAGTGTGGATGTGCATCTATGAGTCCCTGTGTCTGCCTGCCTGCCTTCTCCTATGCCCGCCCCCCACCTCTGCTTTGCTGGCCTGTTTGGTACCATCTGGCCACATCTGTATAGTTGGCACTGCCATGCAAAAGGGGCTGGGCATTCCGCACATGTACATGGAATCTGCATCCACTTTGATGCTGAGCTCAAAGCAACCTAACTGTGACTAGTTTTGATATCAAATTTGAAAGTAGCAATTTCGCAGAGATCCCTAATCTGGAGGGTGTCGGCTGCCCTCTGCCTGGCCTGGCCATTGCCTTCGCTCTGCTGTTCCCCAGTGACTGGTATCCAGCAGCAAACTGCCATGGAACAAGGAGATTCTACCATGGCCGTCGTTACCCAAACCAAAACGTTAAAGCTGCCCACCTGGTCAATGATGTTTGCACTGAAGATGGCTTCTTCCATGTGCCGCTCGTCAGACTTGATGACCGACCGGATGCTGTTCACCACATGACGCACCTCCGGGGGAAGGTTGCAGTTCGAGTGCTCCAAAAACTTGGCCACCAGGATCTTCGTGTCCTTGTAGGCTTGCAGGTCCACCAGAGAGTGGGGACGCTCCTTGCAGATGGTCTGGAAGGCCTTTGGCTTCCGGGAGCGTTCAGCCTTTTTGGGGTCCCTCAATTTTCCCACTGGATGGAGCTGGTTTCTGGAGTCCTGATAAGTAGAGGCAGCCACGTGAGGACCAGAGGCAGGAACTAAAACCGAACGGGAAGGAGAAATGTTATGAAGGCAGTGGGGAGAAACAGCGCTAATTCAGACACAAGGCCCACAGCGCGTTCAGTGGGTCATTGTTACCACCACCAGTGCCTATAGACAGAGCCAGCCCACTCATGAGACAGATGGAAGCAGCTGCTGTGGGCAGCAGAATCCAGGGTGTGTGCGCCTGCTCCTGCTGCCGGGGTTGAGCTCTCCTGAGCTCTCCTGGGACTTTGTGAGACCTCGCTGGAAGCTAGCAAGCGAGGCTTTGGCAGGGTTGGGGGCAGTTGGGCAGCACCTTCCCATTTCACCGGAGGCAGCAAAATGAGACAGGCACACCCCTGGCTGTATAAATCACTGTTCTGATATTATAAGGATTGTTCTGATTGTTCAATGCCTGCCCTGTCATGATCAGTCAGCTCTCTAGGCCTCATGCAAAGGGGGCACCACATGGGGGGAAAGCTGTGGCCTTCTGCCAGTGGTCCATTCCCTGGTATCACACATTGCACACAATATATGCATATATAAGAGAAATGCACACTAAATGCTGAGGCTAACTTGATAACAGAAAGAAAATGAGCCTTCAGTGTCATTGGTCCAGTCCTGTGGAATACTCTGCCACTGGATATTCAGCAGGCACCTTCTGTGCCGACTTTTAAATACTGGCTGAAAAGTTTTCTTTTCTGCCAGGTCTATGCAGCCAATTAAGAATACATCCTTTTAATATGGTTTTTAATATGGTTTTTACTGTATGGTTTTATGTATTTTTGCTGGAAACCAGTTTGATATTTTTAATGAAATAGTTGTCTATTAAATATTTTTATAAATTAATAAATAAAATGCTGACAACATTTAAAAAAAATGCTAACTGATGCATTAGTGGCAAACTGAACTTTAAATGGAAAAATGAAAAACAGAAGAGAATGCAGTGTTGACAGGTGTGTTCACCCCGCAGTCCAACAACATCTGGAAATGTTATGTTTGTTTGTTTAATTTATAACATAACATTAAGATGCCACCTTTCCTCCAAGGAGCTCAAGGAAGCACATACATCTTTCTTCTCCTCCCCACTTTTGTCCCCCAGAACAACCTTGTGAGGTAGGTTAGGCTGAGAGGGAGTGACTGGCCAAAATCCCCCAGGTGAGCAACACGCCTGAGGGGGGATTCAAACCCTGGTCTCCCAGGTCCTAGTCTGGCACTCTAACCACTACACCGCCACTGGCTCTGTTGACCAGTATCTCAGCAGGCGACACTCACCTTCAGTGGCAGACGAACATGACAGA